GCTGAACTTAATCTGTAGATTTCATGGTGTTTCCTCTCCTCTTGAAGATTGGAAGAATCACCCTAAGCATTGTATAATATCTGCTTTTTTTGTTGTTGTCATAGGCACATTAGAGTATTGTGGGAGTACTAAAATTTAAAGGACTTCATTTGGAGAAAAAGCAAAACTTAAATGCTATAAATATATATTTTTTTCCTTTTAGAAAGGAATTTATGATGAAGCACTAAGCAGCTTCTTTAGAAATGTGGACACCAGGTAAGAGAGGATTAAAGTTTATCATAGTGTGATGATCCTTATTATGTCAACACATTGGGAGAAAATTTCTCAGAGGACACTTAAAAACAGTCGATAGCTGTGAAGTTGTCTGATCTTTGTGTGCTTTTCTCTTTACTGAACGTGTATTGATCATATCATTCGTATTTTTATGCCATTCAGAATAAGACAACGGGTTTTCTTTTTATGCTATATTAAGGGACAAAAAGAAGCATTAATGTTATTTCTTTTAACTTAGCCTTGAAATAAAGTTGTACTAACATACAACTGAGGTTTTCCCTTCAGGTATCTTGTTAATTCATTCACTAGTGGCTAACTTTTGAAAGAAAATGTATTGTCTATGTTTCTGACAGTATTTGCAGTCAGAAATATTTGCTCTAGGGGTAGCATGTGCTAGAAAGGAAAAAAGCAATTGTTGTCAGGTTACTTTTGTTTACTTAACAAAGGGTATCTATAAATGTCATATATCTTTTATCTGAAAGAATAGTTTAAGTTGTGCATTAGCTTTTCATGTTCAGTCATTAAGTAACATGCATTTTCAAAATATTTCATGAAACTGTGGTGATCTTGAACTGAAAATATATACACTTAATTTCAGATTTGCTCTAATTCAATGGAAATTCCAGTTCTAGTTTGGATAGTTGGCTGGATGTTTCAGCAGTTATTTTCTAGGGAAGGCTAATTAGTCTCCACTACATTGGTGAATCCCAGATTCTTATTCTCAAGCTTGCAAACTCAGAAATAGTGTTGATGCCAGCTTCAGAGTAGGTCCAGTTTTTGCAAGTATAGTCAGAGTAACCAAACTCAGAGGAATGGGAGATTAAAAAGCAGGTCAGTGTAGTAATCAGCAGTAGGAACCATATCTCAAAAACACCAGATCCTCATTTCCCATCATAGATGCATTCCCTTCTATAGAAAATTGGCCTGAAAAAACTGTATAATCATCAGCAGGTTGCCTGGTGACCATGGTATCAGACTGAGGGAAATTAAGAGTATTACCTTAAAGACTGGTGTCATTTATCTTTATCATAGGGTGATACCTGTCACATAGACTAAATTTCCTCTTAACTTGTGGCCCAGAACATCCTCTCTAAATACTACTAGGAGATGGAGATTTGCCTTTGTAATCATTCCTTTCAGGTGCTTGTTCCTTCCATTGCTAATTAAGTTCCTAATCCCATCTCTTTTTTTTTTTTTTCTAGTTTGTATGTATGTGGTGTGTTTTTGGTTCTGTTTTATTTTTAAAATGGTCTCACATTGTGATCCTTCTGCCTCACTCCTCCAAGTAGCAAGAATCACACACAGACGCCACCACAGCCAGTTTTAGAGTAGACCAGCAATCAGACCTAAGCCTCCCATGCCAGCTCAGCCTGAATAGCATCAGGAGCTGCTATGGCTGGGCCACTCTTCCCTTTCTAAATACTCATCCCTTTCATTGAGTATTACCTGCTTGGCGTGGAAGCTTTTCTTTTTTTTTAGTAAGGTATACTCTCATCTACTCTGTTTTAGATTTTAACCAGAAAGCACTCTTATTTTTTTACTTTAAATTTGAGAAGGCATGAAGAAGGAGTGTGGCATCTTGCTCTTTCTGTGTACTGTCACTACACGTAGCATCTTTTCTGTAATGAACCAGATAGTAAGTGTTTTAGGTTTTATGAACTGTAAGATTTGTTTCACTACTCAACCCTGTTTTGGTAGCATCAGATAGTACATAAACACATGGATGCTTGTATTTGAGTAAAACTTTCTTTAGGAAAGCAGGCAGTGAGCTGGATTTGACCTGAGGGTTGTAGTTTACCAATCTCTGATCTGTAGCATCGTCTTGTGTTTTAACTTGGCTTTCCCTTCATATATTCTGTCTTCTTATGAACTTCCTTTATTAACCCATACACTGTTTGGTCATGGGTTTTGGTACTTTGGTAACTTACTTTCAAGATGAAATCCTAGGGAAAGCCTTAAGTAAACCCTGTGGGATATAACTGGCATATCAGTTGATGTGTGGTTGACTGCCATGGGAAAGCTCATTAAGGATGCTTAATTAATAAAGATATCTGTCTATGTCAAAAAGAAATATGGAACTATTATGCTCATATTTAAGGCAGGAAAAAGCAAGAGGGTTGGCAGCAACCACATCTGGTCTTTTTTATCAGAAAAACTCCTCAGAATACCTCTCCTTTATTTCATTAGCTAGAACTGGATTACATGGCTAACCACAAAATTAGGGAAAAGAGTACCTCATTTGTTCAGCCTCATGAGATGCAGAAAAGGATGTTAGAATGACTGTGTGTCTACTGTATCTGGCATCCAAGCAGCCATATTATATGAATGGAAGTTCTTTTATTACCTGATAGCACTATTGGCCTTGTAAAATCTTATGACACTTTCTTATCTTTTATCTTTCAGAGTGGTTGGCGATGGTGGCGATATTTCCAAAGGAAAAATATGTTCTTTAAAAGCACGAGTAAGATATATACACTTGGATTGTTAATGGCATATGTGGGTGTTTTTAAAGAATTATTTTAAATTTTATTTATTATTATTACTATTATTTAATTTGCGATATGACACATGTGTTCACCAGAGCAAGAGAGAGAGAGTGAGAAAGCAAACCATCAGGTCCAGGACTCAAACCCTGTTTGCCATGTGGGAGCCCAGCACTTAACCACCACACCACCTGGCCCCTAACATGTATTTTTTAAATAACTATATTTCTATAACTATTATGCTAGTAATATTTTAATTTAACTTCTTGAATTAAAAATAAATCTTCTAAGCCATGTTTTATATAAATATAACTAAGCAGGCATTTGTGTTCATCTGAAACGGAAGGAGAAAAATTTTGTACATACAGTGAAAACATTGCATATTTAGCATTTTCTTCTAGCTATTACAGGAAAAATAGACCTCTGTAGATAAATGATAGTAAAAGGAGCCTTCTTCACTCTAAGGACCTAAAATATATACTAATATGCATTAATTTTTCATTTAAAGATAATGAAAGGGGGGCACCATGTGTCATGTTGATTAAGGCAGTGGAGTCCCACCTGGCTGGCTGACTACATGGTTTGAGTCCTGGACCTGGTAACTTGAAAAATCACACCAGGCATGTATGTATGCCCAAAATCCCAAAGGGAGAATGGAGGAGAAGGAATTGCAGCATGACCATCCCCTCTCAGGGGTGATCTCCCAGTTTCCCTCTGAATGTATGCACCCCATAACAACAACAACAAAAAAAATACTAGAAAATAGCCTTAAGAAGAAAGAAAAAAAAATGAAGGATTTAATAAGTGCCATTTACAGTTCTGAAACTGCTTTGAGTCAGTAACCCATATTTATACTCTTAATCTCATTCCAGCAATATTTCTCATGTGATTGTTTCTCTATACCAAACTCCTTTTTCTAATTGTTGGTCAGTAATCCTTGGCTATAACAAGAAAGAAAGGCAGTTTAAATGCTGTGGGAGAAATCAAAATGCTAAGGATCAGAGCTGGTGCAGAGGCTGAAAAACTGGAGAACACTAGTGTTGTGGAAGCTGGGAACCATTTCCTTGTATCTGGACTCTCTGATGCTCTTGGAAAACAAAACTTAGAGCAGAGACCATGTGTTTGCAGGTTGTCAGGATTCTTGAGTAGCACTTGGTATACTCCATGACAGAGAGAGAGAGAGAAAATCTCAGTCTAAATCTTAGAAACAGACTTTTGTCATTTTCTAGATTACTCCCAATTGAGCTCTTCTTACCACCATATCTGAGTGGGGTGGGAGGTGGAGAAAATACTGTTTATTAAAGAATAGCCAGTACGTTCCTGTAGCCTTAGACTTTTATCTCAAAGGTACTCATCTGTCTTTTCCTTAGGAGCTCTTGGTATTAAGTGGCTGTAATCACTAAAGAGTACAGGCTTCACAAGAAACTTGGGGCTTGGGCTTGTCTACTGTGCCAGTGTCTTATATTAATAGACAAAAACTCAGAATTCCATAAATCTTATATTACAGTCAAGGGAAAACCAAAAGGCATCATGTGACTCTGGAAGGAAATATAAACATCAAATCCTATTGCAGCTATGACTCCAGACCTTGGATACCTGAGTAAGGAGCCCAGAATACACTCCCAAAATTTACTTAATTTCCAATGGAAAACAAATCAAAGGCCTGTGACCAATGAAGTATTGGAAGAGTTATGTATGTCAAGGTTTTAATGCTAAATGACTAGCACAGCAGTGATTCTAGCAAAGCTCACTTCAGGATGTGACTGAATGTCGGTTTATATTCTGCATATTGATTGCCTCCCTTCCTGGCCCCAGATAGCAAGATAATTGAAGGTGGAACTTAAGTACTTTTTTCTTTTTACTTTTGCTACAGGGTATAGGTGCTCACCAGAAAGAGAGAGAAAGCAATAAATCACTCCCCAGAGGGGATGGCCACATCGTAGTCCCTTCTCTTTCATTCAAAGTCCCTTCCTGGGACTTTGGGTATGCACGTACATGTGACTGGCATGATTTTCAAGCCACTGGATCTGAGACTCAAACCATGAAGTCAGCCATGTGGGATCCAGCTGCCTTAACCTCCATGCTACCTGCTGACCCAATACATTTAGTCTTCCACAAATTATCTCAAAAAATCTGTTTTGAAACAGAGTATAAGCTAATTTCTTTCTTTCTTTTTTTTTTTTTTTAATAATCTTACACACTTGTAGTACCACAGTTTGCCTATATGGTGAAGTCTGTTGGCTAGGTATTAATTAAAGTCAGCATTTAAGATAAAAATTGCATAATGTCAGAAATGAACTTGAAAATTCCTAAAATTGTGAGTATATAATCCTATAAAGTGTATATATAATGATTACTGCATATAAAGAAACACTTTTTTTTTTCCTTTGCTGTAGGACACGTGCACTCACCAGAAAGACAGAGAGACTGAAAGTAAGAAATCACTCCCCAGGGAGTATGACCATGCCACAATCCTTTCTCCTCCATTCTCCTCTCAGGATCTTGGGCACACACACACACATGCCTGGCATGAGTTTAAGCCACTGGGTCCAGGACTCAAACTGCAGTCAACTACATGGGAGTCCAGGGACATAGCCATTTTACCAACTGTTGGTCCCAAAGGAACATAATTGTAAAACACAGTTTCATAGCCTTAGTCATCTATCATTATTTTAATTAATAAATTTTACAGTATCACAGTTTACTATGTAACTTAAATGTGCATAAATTGTAACTCAGTTGTAATCAGTACTCTGTAAATACTTGACTATCTCCCTTCAATTAAATACTCGTAGGGCATAGAGCTCAGAGGTTAAAAGTGAAGGTTTTGCAGCCAGGCTAGGTGGGTTTGAATTTCAGCTCTGCCATTTACTAACTAGTTGACCACAGCCAAGTTATTTAACTTTTGTAGGCCTTAGTTTTCTGATGTATGAGATTTAGATGTCAGTACCTGTACATAGGATAGTAAGGATTAAATGGGTCGATACATTTAAAGCATTTAGGATAGTAGTGTGTAATAATTGCTCAGTGTATATGATCACGAGAATTTTAAAAGCCCGTAAACAAAGTCCTTCCCTTTTTTTTTTTTTTTTTGCCTTTTTATCTAACTATTTTTACCTTTTCATTTTTCTTCCTCGCCATAGAATATATGGTATGGAAAGTACAAAGAAGTGGTAGGAGGCTAACCTTTCCTACTCACACATTGCTTTATTTCCTTGCTATTATTTTTTCCTAGTTTTTCTTTCCATAGTTAATTTTATGTTTTATATTTTTAATTTTTTTCTTAGTAGTATAGGTTATCTCCTTGTCAGTAAAGTGGTAGTAATGAATTACTGTAGATTGTAAATTACTTGTGCAAAGGGGCCCTGTTGTCTTCTTTAACATCCATCCAGTGCCTTGACTTTGCATATAATAGTAAGTTTACTCGTTTGGACATTTTATTTTGACTGTTATTCATAAAGAACAACATGGTTTTTCCTAGAGAGTAAATACACAAATGTACATTACTTATTAAGAACTTTTTTTTTTTTTAATTACCAGAGGGTGCATGTGCATGCCAGAGAAAAAGCACTCCAATGGATCATGGCCACCCACAATCCCTTTTCCTCCTTTTCTCCATCCTGTTAAGATTTGGGGCACACACACACACACACACACACACACACACACATTCCATCATGATTTTCAAAGCCTCTGGATGTGGAACTCAAAGTGTTTTCAGCCATATGGGATCAGACTTCCTATGCACAGTGTTTAGCCATCCGGCTACAGGGCCAGCTCAAGAACTTTTTCTGATTAAGGGTGCCTTCTGCATTTCCGAGATCTTGTTAGAAATTCATTTGAAAATAGGATAAAAGTTTAGAAACCAACTTTTAATTGGATTTCACCTTTTGAGAAGGGTGAAATTTTTTAATTCTTATAACAGAGACATAAAGGTTTGATTGAGCTTAAACTATAAAGAAGAACAGTGTATCACTTAGCTCATATATTCCATTAATTTACAGTGTGAATAACTATAAAAGAAAATATTCTAATTAAATTTTATTTCTCTTTCTCAGGCTGTCTTGATTGACATGGAAGAAGGGGTAGTGAATGAAATTCTGCAGGGACCATTGCGAGATGTATTTGATAGCAGACAACTTATCACTGATATTTCTGGCTCAGGAAATAATTGGTGAGAATATGCTGAACATAACAATCGAATGTCATGTGAAAAAAATAACCAATCTTTCCTTCATTCTGGTAGGTACTATTGACGTGAAAGTAAGAGGTAATTGTCCATACTTAAAGCTAGGTTTTTCAGCCTGTTGGCCTTCCCTGAATAGATGATTGTGTTTCATAACGCTTGGAAGCAACCTGTGTTTACTGTTATTTCTAATTCCTTCTCATTTTTCTTTATTAATTACCAGAGGGTGCATGCACTCCTCAGAGAGAGAGAGAGAAAGCGAAGGAGTACCACCCAGTGGGTCCTCTTTTTGCTGCAGTCCTTCTTCTTGAATTCTTCACTCTGGCCAGGATGTGAATTGTGGTCAACTACGTGGGATCCAGCTCCCCATGCACAGCACTTAACTGCTGTGCACTGAGTCTGGCCTCCTCCTTTACTTTTTTAAGAAAAGATGAATTATGAAAAACTGATTTGCTACATTTCTCTTTGTAAATGTATTCTTCTGTAAAATTTTAAGAACTTTTATAAACTGTTCTCTTACCTGTACCTCATATTATTTGAATCTCCAGTTCTCCGATTGGTCATATTTAATAGAATTGATACAGAGATGCAGAACAGACCAGTGTTCCAGCATTCAAGCTGAGCCTAAGGCTGTTTGGCCCTTAACAATATGATGCTCTCTTTAATGGAAAAAAAGCTCAAACAGCAGTTATTTAATAATTCTCATTGAGATTGTTTTTGCTGTTTTTAAAACTTAACTTGCTGTATGCTATTTACAAATCTTATTCATTATTCTGTTTGCAGCCAGCCCCTTAGTTTCATAGTGTGGAGAGGTAAATGATTTTACTAAAGCATGAATTTGAATCTTCTGTTCCGGAAGACTTGGAGAGAACCAGTGGCTTAATAAGTGAACTCACCTGACCACCCAGCTGGTGGTTCTCTAATTGTTGCATAGCTCATTCTGATGGATCATTTTTGAGTTATACTTGACTTCATGCATTATTTTTTAGTTTATCATAGTGATACTTGAAAATCTGGGCAACCTAAGAGATTTACAGAACCTCATAAATATCCATTTCTACCATGTATGATTTTATCTAATAATAACATGATGTGACCATTTTTTCTTATATTTTAAACCAAAATAGGTTAGTTTAATTTTTTATTTTTACTGTCAAGGTTTTGTAGTTGACCACTTTCTGCTTTTTAATATGTAAAGTATACAGTTCAGAATTTCCTTTTGGGACCAGCAGTTAACGTAATGGCTATGTCACTGAACTTCCCTGTAGTCAACTGCAGTTGAAGTCCTGGGCCCGGTGTCTTAAAACTCACGCTGGGCGTGTGTACATGCATGCCCAAGATCCTGAGAGAGGGATTGCAGCGTGGCCATCCCCCCGGGGGGTGATTTCTCGCTTTCTGTCTCTCTGTCTCTCTGGCGAGCACACGTACCCTACAGCAAAATCTTCTCAAAAAGAATTTACAGTAAAAGAAAGAAAAAAAAAAAAAAACCTGTGTAACCAAAATTTTGTTTTGTTGTAATTGTACCTTAAGAGAACAGTTGAGGGCCAGCAGGCAGTGTGGTGGTTAAGGTGCTGGACTCTCACATGACTGACCATGGTTCAAGTCCTGGACCTGGTGGCTTACTTTCTTACTTTCCTTCTTTCTCTCTCTGTTTTTCTCTGGTCAAATTTTAAAATAATAATAATAAATAAAATTAAATAATTCTTTAAAATATAGTTTCAAAGAAAAGGTTGAAGACATAAAATTTAGAAATTGTAGTTTATGTATTGCTTATGAGCTGATAAAGGATATTTGAGGATTACAGATATATAACATTCATAAATTTCTATCTCACGTCTTCAGGACATCTTTATTGACATGAAATAAAAATATATCTTGGTGCAATAAAAGTAATTTTTAAAATTTTCTGCTATCTTTTTATTTATATTAGAAATAATAAAATGAAGAACTAATAAATACAAAGATTTTGTTAATCTCTATTCTTATTTTCAGGGCTGTGGGTCACAAAGTTTTCGGCAGTCTCTACCGAGAGCAGATTACAGAGAAACTCAGGAAGTCTGCAGAGCACTGTGACTGCCTTCAGTGTTTCTTTATAATACATTCCATGGGAGGAGGTAAAGTTACTCCTCCTTTTTTTACAACAGTGTTAAAGTGAAAGTAGTAATTCATTTTGCAATATAAGTCTTGTTTTCAGACCTTTGCTAGATAAAGATCTGTGTGTGTGTGTGTGTGTGTGTGTGTGGTTTAAATTCATTTACAAATAGCTTTTTATCTTAAATTTTTGTGAAATTGTGTCACTGTTACTTTTTTTTTTTTTTAATTTAAGTCCTTTTAAGAATCAACAGAACTAGGGACCAGCAGTTAGCATAGTGACTATGTCGCTGGACTCCCACGTAGTCGATCGCGGTTTGTGTCCCGGACCCGGTGGCTTAAAACTCACGCCAGGCACGTGTGCATGCGTACCCAAGATCCTGAGAGGAGAATGGAGGAGAAGGGATTGCGGCGTAGCCATCCCCCCTGGGGGGGGGGTGATTTCTCGCTTTCTATCTCTGTCTGTCTGTCTGGCAAGCACACATACCCTATAGCAAAAACCTCTCCAGGGAAAAAAAAAAAAAAAAGAATCAACAGAACTATATCCCATGTTTTTTTAACCTACCTGTAGTTTCTTTTACGAAATGTTCAGCCTTATTCAGTATACATGAGCTTCTGATGAAAGTTAATTTCGCCTCAGCATGCACTTGGCAGTACTATTTCCTAACTAGAGCAAGCCATTTCTGGCATGTTCACATTTGCTTGCCAGAGAGTTTTGGTACCCTTTCTTTAGCTACCTTCAAACTTTTCAGGTCTCCAGTAAGAGAAAAAAGAGCAAAAGAAATTCTTTCAGTTCCTTTCAGTGATTTCTTATGGTACTCAATCTACTTGAGTTAGAAATAAATGGTCTACATTGCTCTCTTCCCATTCAGTTCCTTTCAGTGATTTCCTTTCAGTGGTACTCAATCTACTTGAGCTAGAAATAAATGGTCTACATTGCTCTCTTCCCCCAGGGAAACTTGTACCTTGGAACTAAGTATTTTGCTCCCCTGTTCCGTGAAAGAGAAACAGAATAAAATTGGCTGATTTAAAAATATGATTAGCTGGGACCAGCAGTTGGCGTAATGGCTATGTCACTGGACTCCCATGTAGTCAACTGTGGTTCAAGTCCCGGACCCGATGGCTTAAAACTCACTCTGGGCGCATGTGCATGTGTGCCCAAGATTCCGAGAGGATAATGGAGAAGGGATTGCGGCATGGCCATCCCCCCGGGGGGTGATTTCTCACTTTCTGTCTCTCTTTCTCTCTGTCTCTCTGGTGCGCACACTCACCCTATAGAAAAACCTCTCCCCCCCGCAAAAAAAAAAAAAAGAAAAAAAAATATGATTAGCAAATTTTAAAAGAAAAATATTTCCATACTTTTTTTTTAAATGAAATTAAAATTGTGTTTTCAGCAGGTTAGATGCAATGGATTTTTATACATATATGTACATTATGCACTATCTCAGCACTTTTTTTTTCTATGTTCATGAAAGAGCTTGTGTGCACTCATGTGAAAGAAAGAGGCGCACCCTCCACAAGATCTGGTCTCAGCACTATCCGCTTCTGTCAGTCCTCCAGCTCATCAGATCTTGAGTGCGTGCATATGTGCCTGGTGTGTTTCAGGCTGACCCATTTCTTTTGAACAGCCTGATACCACTGTGCCACTGAGCTAGCTATATTATAGCACTTTAAAATTAAAGCTATGTTTTGATGTTTCTTTATGTTGCTTTAGTGACCATGCCTTTTGAAGACCATCATGACTGTTACACTAAGAAACAAATTGTCTTTTGACTAGTTTAGTTAATCTGCAAGTTTGACTAAGTTTCCAAAAGAAAACAATGTGATTCATAGTTCGTTATGGGACCTTTTGGTATCCTACTTTAACACAGTATCTCAGAATAGCATACTTTATTCATAATTTTCTAAAAATAGCAAAAATAAATAATACTGAGTATTTAAAATAGAATCTCCTTTTCCATATTCAATCCTAGTTCATCTCCATATAGGTAGTGAAGTTTGCAGGATGTTTTTTCTCTACCCTCCACACATTTCCTGTTTTTTAATATGTGTGTGTGTTTAATTTACTAGAGGGCATGTGCACTTACTGAAGATAAAGAGAGAGAAGGATGCTGAGAAAGTAGGCCCCCCCATGGGAAATGGCCACACCACAATACCCACCTCTCCTTGGAAAATTTTAGACACTGCACAGTCAGCCATATGGGATCCAGCTGCCCCATCCACTATGCCACCAGCTGGCCTATGTATGTTTTACATAAATGACATCATGCAACACATACATAATTTTTTCACTTTTGTATTTCATGAACACCTTTGCATATCATTTGTTTGATGGAATTTAGTTGCTTGTTTAATGTTTAGTACTTAATACGTAATAGTTTACATATTTTGGGGGGGTTTTGGTTTGTTTTTAGGGTTTTGCCATAGGGCACAAGCACTCACCAGAGAGGGAGAGAAAGAATAAAATAATCCTCCAAGACAGATGGCCATGCTGCAGTCTCTTCTCCATTCTCCTCTTGGAATTTTGGACTTACATGTACATGTTCCCAGTGTGATTTTTAAGCCACCTGGTCTGGGATTCAAACCACAGTTGACCATGTGGAGTCTAGTGCCTTAACCACCACACCATCTGCTAGCCCCTATATTTTAATTTCTAAACATATATAATAATTTACTAAGTCAGTTCCTCATCATAGATGTTGTTTATGGTGATTAGTTACTACATTTAATCTCCAGTGGACATTTGGTGCATATATCTTAGTGCATTTTGGCCTCCATATCTGTAGACAATATTTCTAGAAAGATGGCACCACAGAATATGTACATTTTAAATTTTGATTGATGTTACTAATATGTCTTCATACAATATGGTACCGATTCTTTTTATTAGCAGCACTATAAGAGTTCCTATTTCCTGGGACCAGCAGATGATGTAGTAGTTACATCGCTGGATTCCCTTGTAGACTGCTGTGGTTCTAGTCCTGGTTCTGGCAAATTAAACCTCATGCTGGGTCCGTGTGCATGCATGCCCAAAATCCTGAGAGGAGAATGGAGAAGGGACTGCAGTATGGCCATCCTCTGTGGAAGGGTGATTTCTTACTTTCTGTCTCTCTGTCTCTCTCTGTCTCTGTGGCAAGTGTACATGCCCTACAGCCAAAATCTTAAAAAAAAAAAAAAAAAAAAAAAAAAAGAGTTCTCGTTCCTTACACTGAGAATTATGAGACCTACATTGTCTGATGTTCAAAATAAATATTTTAATTTACATTTCTTTAATTAAAAAGAAAGTTGAACATTTTTATGTCTACCTGCCATTTTTGTTTCCTTTACTATGAGTTACATATTTACATCTTTGGCCCTTTTTTTCTGTTACATTATTCATATTTTTGGTTGTTGATTCTTGAGAGCTCTTTATGAAAAGAAAATTTAAGCTTTCCTCATATGTTGGATATTTTTCTTAGTTTGTCTTTATTTTGTTTATGGGTTTTTCTAAATATGTTTTTAAGTTTTGCTTTTCCTTTTTTTGAAAGAATTATTTTATTTATTTATTTATCTACCTATTTATTCATTTTAATTTGACCAGAGAGGGGGAGAGAGAGAAAGTGAGAGAGCAAGCTGTGCCAGGTCAGGGACTTGAACTGTGATTGGCCTTGTGGGAGTCCAGTGCCCTTAACCACATACCACCTGCTGGCCCCCAGTTTTGCTTATTCTTAATATAATCAAAACAGTCTTTTCTGTAATGGCTCTTTTTTATAGTGTTTAAAAAAGTCCTTATTAAAGATTAATCAGAAAAATGTCTTCATATTTATGTAGTATGTTGAACATGATTTTTTAATATTATCTACATGAATTATAGCACTGGTTGTGAAACTTTTTTTTTAAATCAGAATAGTAAGAAATACGTTTTATTTCACAGCCCAACAACATTCATGCACAGACACACCTACAAACTAAAATATGATTCAGAAAATACTCTTTACCCACATTGCATGTGACATTGGTAGTTTTTACCATTCCTTTAAGAGAAAAAAATACACTAATCTGATAATTAGTTTGGTAACCTGCTAATGGTTCACAGCCCACAGTTTAAAAATACTTCAAATTTGAGGTACCAGCAGAGGACATAGTGGTTACGTCACTGGACTCCCGCATAGTTGACCATGGTTGGAGTCTCAGATCCAGTGACTTAAACTCATGCCTGGCACATGTGCGTGCATGCCCAGGATCCCAGGGGGAGAGTGGAGGAGAGGGGATTGGAGGGTGACCATCCCCCTGGGGGGGGGGGCGGTATTTCTTTCTGTCTGTCTGTCTTTCCAACAAGCACACATTCCCTATAGCAAAAATCTCTTAAAAAATATTTAAGAACTTGAATTTTGAGAGTTCCAGCTTTAAGTTCTTAAAGAATTTATGTAAATGTAACTAAATATCAGAAAACTATTTTTAATAAGATTCCTAGAGTTACTTCTTTCAAGTAGGTAGTGACAGGCCAGATAATGGTGCCATGGTAATCCACAAAGCTCTATAAGGCAGTCCCACACGGAAGAGTTCCTGGTTCGAGTTCAGCAACCTACTCAAGCACGCCAGGCACATGTTTGCTCATGACGTGGGGCTGACTGAAGGCGAGGAGTGGACTAGTGTCAGGACCCTGTTGGGAGTGCTCTTTCTTGTTCTCTCCCTGTCTCTTTCGCTCATAAGAGAAATAAATAAGCCTAAGAAAAGTAGATAATAATGAAGTTTCAGATTTGACAATTTTAGTAATTCAAGGTAGCCATGCTTAAGTTTAAAGAATTTTAACTCTATATTTAAGTTGCTCAATGATGTAATCATGTTCTTCATCATCAAGATTATATGTACACTACACCAAAGCTGTTAAGGTCGTTTCCTTTTTTTATTTTTTAAGTTATTTAATATCAAGTATAAACTGAATGCTGTCGCGGTTGAATTTTTCACTCTTCAGACAGTTCTTTTGGTATAATAGAGGCACAACTTAAACATGAGAAACAGAAATAGAGAAATTCATGGTCAGAGCCAGAAATGGAACTCAGGACTCTAAGTCTTACTATCCATGATACCTTCATTCCCTTATCTAAAATTAGATTAGTTAATACGTAATCACAGGAATAAGTGAAAAGTTACTTCTGCAAGTAAAACATAAATTTTTTCACAACCGTGTTCTGAATCATTTATGCTAGTTTCTATTCGAAATTTTAATCTTTAGGAACAGGATCTGGATTTGGCACATTTCTTTTAAAGGTGCTTGAAGATGAGTTCCCTGAAGTATATAGATTTGTGACGTCAGTTTATCCTTCCAGTGAGGATGATGTCATAACCTCACCCTACAATAGTGTCTTGGCAATGAAGGAACTTAATGAGCATGCGGACTGTGTGCTACCCATCGACAACCAAGTAAGAAATGACACTGGGACTTACAGAACAATTTCATCCGCATTCAGTTCGGTTTTACTTTTGTGTTTATATGGAACACTGTCCACTCTTCTGCCTTCTCACCTAAGAAAAAAATAAGTTTAAATTGTTTTTCTCTCTCTTCATTCTTTCCTAGTAGAATGTCATCCATGCCCACTCTTCTTAAAAGCTTCTCTCCCAATATTTTTCCCTCAAAAGTCTTTATTTGACATCATTAGCAAAATTGACCTCATGGTGAATTCTGGAAAGTTGGGTACAACTGTGAAGCCGAAGAGTCTGGTTACTTCAAGTGCTGGGGCTTTAAAAAAGCGGCACAAGAAGCCCTTTGATGCAATGAATAACATTGTGGCAAATTTGCTGCTCAACCTGACAAGGTAATCCTATCCAAGGCCAGTGGGAAAACTTCACTGTGCTTTTGACAATATCTTGAGTTTTCTTATAGTATTTTATAGTCGTTTTAAGTTACAAGAACTTATTTTGTTTTTATTTTATTTGGGCTTGTATTTTTATCTCTTAGAGTGATAGACTGGGATTTTCATTTGACTCCAAAGCAACATTTTCCCAAGTATATTTCATGGAATATTAATAGATGTTAAATGATTTTGTTGTAGACATACTTGAAAAACACTTGGTTAGATAAAGTAAAAGTAAAACCTTTTCCTTTCCTTTTACTTCTTTATTTTATACCTGAAATTTTACTCTCATTAGCTTATCCCAAAGGTTTCCATTACCTCAGTTTCTAATATTGTTTTGGCATTATTATATTTCAGGCTATATAACATATTAAGCAGAACTTAGAGTAATTTATTTTTTGAAAGGTTTTTGCTATACAGCAAGTGCGCTTGCCAGAAAGACAGAGAGACAGACAGACAGAAAGTGAGAAATAACCACCACCATCCCCCGAAGGGATGTCCATGGCACAATCCCTTCTCCATTCTCTTTTCTAGATCTTGGGCACACACACACATGTGCTCAGTGTTTGTTTAAGCCACTGGGTCCAGGATTCGAACCATGGTCTGCTATGTGGGAGTCCAGCAACATAGCCATTATGCCAGCTGCTGGTCCCAAAAACTTAGAGGAATTTAATAAAATTTTCAGAATAATAAATGATTCACCTGTATGTGTTTAACTCAATATAGTCTTTTTATATTTTTAAAATAATTATTTATTTAATTCCATTTGTAGGTTTTTGTTTTATTTTGGCTTTTTTTGGTTCTTGTTTTAATTTGACCAGAGAGAGACAGAGAGAAAGAGAAATTAAGAAGGCAAGCTGCCAGGTCTGGGACTTGAACCATGGTCAGCCATATGGGAATCCAGCACCTTTAACTACCATGTCACCTGCCGGCCCTATAAAGTCTTTTTAAATAACATGTTTTTATGTGTGTATTGAGCAATTATAATAATATATTGGTTAAATTTTAGATAATGCAGAAATAAGAATTGGTATAGATTCATATATTGTACTTTAATTATCTATATATGGTTGTTCAATATACTGTATTTTACTAATACAGAAACAAAAGCAGCATACATTCTACACTGAAGAACAATGTGCAGAAAGATTTGGGGAAATGCCTGCTGAATAAATCAAGTTATATTCAACGTCTGTCATTCTAAAATTAAAATTTCCTCATTGTTTTAATGTCAATTTTTTAGCTCTGCAAGGTTTGAAGGATCCCTTAATATGGACCTTAATGAAATCAGCATGAATTTAGTTCCTTTTCCTCAACTTCATTATCTTGTATCAAGCCTAACTCCATTATATACACTGGCAGATGTTAACATTCCTCCTAGAAGGTATGATGTAACTTTGTTACAATTTCTTAAGCACTTGAATTACTTTAAAACAAATATGTAAGAGAAAAATGTTTTTAATAATCTATTTCTTTGAGTCTTTTTTCTGGGAAGTATATAAAATACTATTGATGAAAGCTATCCTTCCATTAGATGAATACTTCAGAAATAATTATTTTAAAATGTGTATGCTAAAGTGTTTGAAATGAAATCTAATTGCATTTTTAGGCTTATGAAGATTAATAAAGATGTCATTTAGATTGAAAAAAATTAAATGCTTTGAATTCTGACAGACTTATGTCTGAATCCTAATTGTCACTTACTACCTATAGTACCTTAAGAAAGAGATTTAAACTTTTTATCTTAGTTTTTTTCATCTGGAAAAATGAAAGTCAAGGGCCAACTGGTGGCATCATGGTTAAGGCAGCCAGATCTCAAAAGGCCAACTGCAGTTCAAGTCCAGGACCCAACAACTTGAAAAACATATCAGGTGGGGAACCAGCAGTTAGCGTAATGGCTATGTCCCTGGACTCCCACGTAGTCGACCGCGGTTCGCGTCCTGGACCCGGTGGCTTAAAACTCACGCCAGGCGCGTGTGCGTGCGTGCCCAAGATCCCGAGAGGAGAATGGAGGAGAAGGGATCGCGGCGTGACCATCCCCTCTGGGGGGTGATTTCTCGCTTTCTGTCTCTATGTCTCTCTCTGTCTGTCTGGCGAGCGCATGCGCCCTGTAGCGAAAACCTCTCAAAAAAAAAAAAAAAACATATCAGGTGCAGTGTATACATGCCCCAACTCCCACATGATGAGATGGAGGAAAAGGAGTGGAGTGTGGAGTGTGCTTTCTCACTCACCCATCCCTACCCCCTGCATCTCTCTCAGACAAGTGCACACACCCTATCGTGAACTTTAAAAAATAATAATCATAATAAGGGGCTAGTAGATAGCATGGTGGTTAAGGTACTGGTCTCCCACCTGACTGACTGCGGTTTGAGTCCCAGGCCTAGTAGTTTGAAAATCATGTCGAATATGTGTGTGAGTGCCCTAGATCCCAAGAAAAGGATGGAGGAGAAGGGATTATGGTGTGGCCATCCCCCCTGGGGATCATTTTTTTTTTTCTTTTCTTTTTTGGAAAGGTTTTTGCTATAGGGCGTGGGCATTTGCCAGAAAGACAGAGAGAGACAGAGAGATAGAAAGCGAGAAATCACCCCCCAGGGGGAATGGTCACACCGCAATCCCTTCTCCTCCATTCTCCTCTCAGGATCTTGGGCACGCACGCACACGTGCCCGGCATGAGTTTTAAGCCACCGGGTCCGGGATGCAAACGCGGTCGACTACGTGGGAACCCAGCAACATAGCCATTACGCTAACTGCTTTTCCCTGGGATCATTTTTTACTTACCCTCCCATGTCTCTCTCTGGCAAGAACAGGCACTCTGACAAAAACTTAAAAACAAAAAGAAAAGAAAGTCAGAATACCTACATCATAAACTTCCATACACTTGTTGGGTAGATTAAGAATTACATATTAAATCTCTATGGCAGCCCAGCACCATAGAAGGCTTTTTTACAAGTTACTGTATATAGTACAGCATTATGTATCATTTCTAGTATACCTGATTTTGGAACTGTTTGCGTGTCATTTTTAAGCATTAAGTTTATATCAATTTACTTAACAAATTCTACTTTTGAAAGTTAACTTTAGCATATGTAGTGATGATGTGTTAAACATTTCACACTGGCATTCACAGTTGACTAAAGGAACAAAGGTCCTGCCAAACTCTGTAAAGGGAGAGTATATAAATGAGAAAGTTAAAGATTCCTTTTCATAAAGTTTTGGCAAGATAAGCAGTATTGCTTCAGAAATGTCACATGTGATATTGATAAACTTTGATGTGAGCCAGTAACAAATGACCCGTTCTGCCAGCTAATAGGTAGGACTTCTGTCTCCCATGGGATTGGATGTCTTCAACAGGTTAAATAACATCCACAGTGATCATTAAATGTCCCCTGGTATCAGCCCAGCATGTTAAATTTCAGTATATTTGTAAGTAGAATGTACACCATTAATATGGAGCATAGAATTTAAATTGGTTTTAAACTTTATGCACAATGGCAATACTTTGGAAATTTTTATATTTGAAGTAAATGAAGACATGGAATTTATGATTAAGTTTAGCATAAAGAAGAAAAATGTTACGACTTCAACCTAAATGTCTTAAAGTCAATTGAATGTCTTATTATCCTATTTGGTTTATCTTGGCTAAAATAATACCTGTATCAGCATTTTTTTATTATAATCATAGTAATTTGTGGTGAAGGTTTTTAATTAAAATATCTTAATGAAAATCTATAGAGGACTTAAAAATGTTAGACTCTTAAGGAATTTGCCTAAATGTTCTTACTGTCTTCATGGGATCCTGGGTGTTTTATTTGTTTGTTTTTGTTTGGCTTCTGCTGTACTGCAGATATTTCAGACTATCAAGGCATGTAGACACAATCATTTATCATTGATAAATAATGAATTGTTTTAATATTGTACATTCAAAGGCGTAGTTTTAAAACTCTTTAATTTCTTTTAAGTAGTTTCAAACAAGTGGGAATGTTTTGGTTTTGGATTATGTTAATAAATGTCAGTTCTGTACCTAGTCCATTTTTGTCAAAAGAAAACAAGTTCTAAGCATATATGAATAAGATAAATATCCTAATAATTATAAATAGTTCCTTACTAGTTTTTGTATTTTATAAGACAAGAAAATAAAGCAAAAATGAATTTGCCTGCTATTTATATAGTGTTTCCTTTTTTTTGAGAGGTTTTTTGCTGTAGGTCATGTGCGCTCGCCAGAAAGACCGAGAGAGACAGAGAGACAGAAAGCGAGAAATCACCCCCCAGGGGGGATGGCCACGCCGCAGTCACTTCTCCTCTAGTCTCCTCCTGGGATCTTGGGCACGCACGCACACGTGCCTGGCATGAGTTTAAAGCACCAGGTCCGGGACTTGAACCGTGGTCGGCTACATGGGAGTCCAGTGACATTGCCGTTATGCTAACTGCTGGTCCCTTAGTGTTTCTTAATCTTTTCTGGGTTTTCATTTGTGGTGAAATGTCCATGCCTTAACTCCATAAAAATGCCCAAAAGCCACATACACATCAAAATTTTGAACATAATAGTAGAGGATTCATGAGTCCTTCAAGAGTCCACCAAATCTCACCTGTCCTTTAGGGAGTCTTCTATCCCTCTTTTATAAAATAATCAGAATAGAATATAAATTCCATTACAGCAGAACATTTTTATTTGCTGAGCCTCTTAGACTTTGAATAGTGCCTGGCACATAGTGGACATTTAGTAAATACCTGATAAATAAGCAGCACAGGTTTCTCAGCAGATGAAGCTCTGGCTAGAGTTATCTAAGGAACCTAATCATCTGTTGAGTTATATAGGATTTATAAACTAAAGGGGCCACAGTAAGGGCCTTGTTGACTGGGTATTGTTAGATATAAGCCCTGTCAGTTGCCTTTGTCTTCCCCTCTTTGACGTAAGGTATAAAAGATAATCTCTTTTTTTGCCTTCAATTAAATGACTTCAAGGAAGCATTACAGACTTTCATCTTTTATGAGGAGAGTCCCCCATTGTCCTTTGATAGTTTCCTTCTAATCTTAATGTATGATATTCTACAGAGAGAGAATAATCATCTTAATGTTGTGGGTTTTTAGTTTTGATATTGTGGAGTAGGTAAGCATAGTGAACTAAGTAATAATGATACAAGTTTTAGATAGCAGTATTACTTACAACTCACTAATGTTACAGTCAACAATTTTGTTGCTACCTGAAATCACCAGTAGGCTGCAGAAGCTTTAAAAAACAAACAAAAAAAAGATATTGCATTGCTTTCTCCTTTTATCATCAAGGTTATTTTGAGAAGATGATAGCTGGCTATTTATTATATTTAGAACATAATAAATAAATTTAGAATTTATATAATATATTCCAATAGCATAATGTTTGATGTGAAGTCTATTTATAGAGAGATGGCTATCTTTTCATTTTACAGTGACTCTTTCATTGCTTTAGGTTGGATCAGATGTTTTCCGATGCCTTCAGTAAAGATCACCAGCTTATTCGGGCAGACCCCAAACATAGTCTCTACCTCGCCTGTGCCCTCATGGTTAGAGGAAATGTACAGATTTCAGATCTTCGCAGAAATATTGAAAGGTTTGATTTCTTTTTTTCAGGATCCTTAATGTGTACTGTTTGGGACAGTAAAGCATAGTTAAGACTACTTCTTCAAATTCTGATATCACATAGAGCAGCTACTTCAATCTCTCTATGCCTTGTTTTTATCATAATAATAATACAAGTTATGTATGACTATATGTACTAAATAATGTGTTCTATTTTCTGAAAATATTCAGAAGATCATAACTTATGCTGTTTTTACTTTCATCACTACTACTATTGCATACCTTCTGAGTTTATGTGTTAACTATTTTTAGAAAATGACTCTGTTGGGTTACAAAGTAAGGAAATTATGTTACCTTCACTTCACTTTATCCCCAGATTTCTAATCTTAAGGATTAGAATCTAGCTTTTGGAATCGCCATCACGGTCGTCTTCCTACTAATTGTCTCTTGGTATATACCACAGTACCATTATGATGAAAAAAGAGATACCTGAGAGTATACAGTAAGCAGTTAGGGTGGTGCTGTCAGTAATGTTCTAGTTTAACGTGAGCTGCCATAATGTGGCAGAAGTATGTAGTACCTTAGTACTCACCTTTGAGTTTTTGTGTCTCAGATTGAAACCTTCTCTTCAGTTTGTCTCCTGGAATCAAGAAGGCTGGAAGACCAGCTTGTGTTCAGTACCTCCTGTGGGCCATTCTCACTCGTTGTTAGCTTTAGCAAATAACACGTGCGTGAAGCCTACCTTTATGGAACTGAGAGAGAGGTTCATGAGGCTCTACAAGAAAAAGGTAATTATCATAACACATTTGTTAACTGTATGAGTTTACTTTCACTATTTAAGATGTATTCTTAAAGTTACACTAGGATAAATCAGGTGTGATCTTGTCTACTGGGTATGTTACAGTGATTCTAACTGAAGAGGAGAGGGTTACTTATTCTATTTTTACTCTAAATAAGAAATTTCATGAGTTATACCATTTACGCAAAGTATTCAGTCTGATGTACATTCTCATTTCTGTCATAAAGCTAAATGAACTATAATTTTAATGAAAGACTTTTTGCCTTACTTTAAGACCATTTATATGTTTTAAAGTTTCTGAAATGCTAAATGTCCAATTTTTTTATTTATAGGCTCACCTTCATCATTATCTACAAGTTGAAGGGATGGAAGAAAGCTGTTTCACAGAAGCTGTGGCATCTTTATCAGCACTCATACAGGAGTATAACCAACTGGATGCTACCAAAAGCATGCCTATGCCAGATTTACCCCGACTAAGTGTAGCTGTGTAAAAAAGGAAATGCGACAAGTACAACTTTATGATTCTTAATTTCACATTGTTTTTGTCACCTTTCTGCTATAGCAGTTTTGTCATTCAGAAAGCCCAGTTTTAGCCCAGCTCCTGTGGCACTTGCTGCTAAGACACTGTGCTCTGCAGGTGGGGACCACATGGGAGGACCAGGTTCAATTCCTGGGTTAACCTGAAGACCAGGAGCGGTGGTTTGCATCTGGTTTGCATCTGTAATCCCGGTGGCTCAGGAAGCCTGAGACAAGAGGATTACAAACTCAGGGCTGGCCTGATCAACATAGCAAGACTCTATCTAAAAAAACAGCAGACCTGGTGGTGTGTATCTGCAATACTAGCCAGGAGGCTGAGGCACGACGATTATGACATAGCAAGAACCTCTCTTTAAAAAGAAAAAAATTATTTTTTTATATTATCAGGAAGTATTTTTGTCTAAAAGAGTGGGTTTTACTTAATCACAATTATTCCTATGTGTGAAGCTAGTGAAGTCCTAGTACCTTAACTTCAAACATTTGTCTTCAGAGGAGTCTCATTTTCTAAAATTCAGAGAATGAAGATCTTCAACATTTTGCTTTATTTATAGCCTCATATTTTGTTACTTATACGCTGATAATCATGTCTCCAATAAAAATCTTGTACAGTATATTTTTATTATATTTATTATAACTTATATTCTGGTATTGTTTGAATTCTCCTGATTCTTTAAAAGTGAGTACTCAAAGTAGAACACAATGGAAATTATTTCCATGTAACATCCACTAACTATTGGGATAGGTCTTTTGCAACAGTTAACAAGGTTTTGTTTTTCTTTGGATAATAACTTATAGTCACCCAAAATAGTCATAAGTTATACATTCATTTTAATGTGTACGTGTATTAAATTATTTTTAAATGTAATTACTCTATTATCAAAATAACTGGTTTATAGTAATAAATGTCCATATTTTAAGCAACACTCCTTGTTATCATGGTCTTACATGTTTCCGTTTATACAAGTGGACAGTGCAGTCCTAAGCTTGGTATCTTCTTCCAGACTTTGCAGTAAAAGGCTGATGAGGACAGAAATTGTTCTGTTTCCTAGACCATTCAGCATTAGTCTTCAACATTATTTTAAACCATCATTTATATTTCAGATCCTTAGGTTTATTTATCATTTAAGACAGTAACTTTTAAGAACAATTTCTTTTCGATCCAAATTTGTTCTGTACTTTCTTTAGAGTTTCTTTTTTTTCAGATTTATCTTCAAAGTGATCATACTATCCTTGGTCTTTATCTTGGAAATTTAATTTTTATAGTAGTTAGTATAAAATTTTTTAGATTATATTCGTTAACAGTGGCCAGAGAAATTCCGTTTTCTCCTTTCCAAATAAATTTTAACTAATATTCAGAATAAGGCAATGAAAATTATAAATATATTTACAGTTTAATCTTATTTCTATTCAAAAATTAATCCAGAATTTTATTTGCCTTAGGGTTATCATCTGATAGGAGCCAGGGCTACATTGTTAAGTACAAATTAAAATTTAAATATAATATGCTTTTTACACATCTTCAACAAAGTACTCCAGGTAATCTTATAAAATAACTTTTTCTTATAAATTGTATGATCTACATAGGATGCTTAGACAGTATCAATGTCTGTGGATTACATGATTACAAGATATTTTAGAAATAAAAGTTCAATTTTGTTTTCTAAATTGTATTTATATTTTTAGGAGAACCTTTTTTAAAAGCTTCTAATGCCTTAAATACAGTGACCTGATCTGCCCTTTGTAACCACTCTAGTTTTTTTATTGTATGACGTGATTGTCTAACCTTAACTTTTCCCCAAAATGCTTAGTTTTATAGAATCATGAGCTCAGAAGATAAATCTCCAGGTTCTCTGCAGTTTCTCTGACATACACAAGATGTAATCCACAGCATCCTCCATTTAAATGACCCTTCATTTGGGCAGTCAAATTGAATGGTGATCATTTTAGACTTATTAGGGACACAGCATCTCTTGTCCAAGCATATTCCACAAAAAGTGGGTTTGTAACTCTGAGTACTTGAGCATCCAGAAAAGACAAATTTTTCAGCTTTGGAGAGTTGGAAAGTAGGTCGACATGATTTTCCTTTGGGAATCTGAAAAGATACAGAAAGTTATTTCAGTTATTTATATGAGTACAATAGTTTAGAGAAATGAGATTATGTAGAACACTTTATAGCATAATCAAGCAGCCATAACTATTACTGAGGTATTAATAACAGTGGCTATTTAGTGACTTGCAGCACCCTCTTCTGTCTACCTTTAATATCCTCTCACCAGAGGAGAATGGACGAGGGGATTGTGGCATGGCCATCACCCTTGGGGGGTGATTTCTTACTTTCTGTCTCTCTGTCTCCTTCTCTGGCAAGTACACGTACCCTATCTCAAAAATCTCTCTTAAAAAAAAAAAATCCTCTCATCAAAGGTCTGTCTTCCTTTTTCTTGTTCCATCTTATAAAGACCCACTCCTCAATGCTTTTTATCTATTCTTTACTCAATTCCAAAACAAATCAAAATTTCTCTTTTGTTTAATACCAAGGGCCATGTCATGTTTAATGTTTACTTACCTAATATAGTGAATTCCCAAACAAAGCTTAGACAGTTCTGGGTGACTGAGTAGATAAGTAAATATATTAATTCCTTTATGGTTGAGTTGTCAGTTTGCTAATATGACAAATAACTTGGGGATGAGAAAGATTTTGTAACATTTTTTAAAATTACTCTTCTGGGGACCAGCAGTTAGCGTAATGGCTATGTCGCTGGACCCCCACGTAGTCGACCGCAGTTCGAGTCCCAGACCTGGTGGCTTAAACTCACGCTGGGCGCATGTGCGTGCATGCCCAAGAAGATCCCAAGAGAAGAATGGAGGAGAAGGGATTGCGGTGTGGCCATCCCCCCTGGGGGGTGATTTCTTGCTTTCTATCTCTCTGTCTGTCTTTCTCTATCTGGCAAGCGCACGCACCCTATAGCAAAAACCTCTCAAAAAAAAAAAAAAAATTACTCTTCTGAGACATTTTACATATAAGAAGTAAGACCTGCTCCAGTTATACCAAGCAATCTTAGGGTAAATATTTTTATCACAGTCCTTTGGTAAGTTTACTATTTGAGCACAGAGCATTTTGGAAGTGGTGTGGCTCCCTTCCAAGCTGGTGATATATAATTAAAATCAGGACTTCTTGGGACCAGAAGTTAGTATAATGGCTATGTCACTGGGCTCCCATGTAGTTGACAGTGGTTCGAATCTTGGACCCAGTTGCTTAAACTCAGGCCGTGCATATGTGCATACGTGCCCAAGATCCCAAGAGGAGAATGGAGGGGAAGGGACTGTGGCATGGCCATCCCCCCGGGGGTGATTTTTCACTCTCTCTCTCTCTGTCTCTGTCTTTCTGGTGAGTGCACACGCCCTATAGCAAAAAACTCTCAAGAAAAAAAAGAAAAAAAATATCAGAACTTCTCTCCTCTGATGTTCATAATATCTGCGTGATGGTTAGTTTTAGATGTTTAGGAATATGTAGAAACCTGATAAAGCATTATTCTCGGTATGTCCATGGATGTTTCAGGATAGATAACATGTGGCTCTGAGTAGACTAAGTGGGGAAGGTCTGCCCTCGGTATGGGCAGGCACGATTCAATCCACAGGGTCCGGGGAGAATAAACATGGAAGGCAAATGGATCACTTTCGATCTAGCAGTCTTTCCTTTACATATCTGGGTGCTCCTGAGTTCGGTGCACAGATGTTTATAAGCATTATATCTTGGTGAATTAGCCCTTTCATTACTATATAATGCCCTTTGTCTTTTCTTACGGTTTTCATCTTGAAGTCTGTCTTGTCCGAAATCTGTTTAGCGACTCCTGCTCTTTTTTGGTTTCCATTTGCATGGAATACCTTTTTCCAGCCCTTCACTTTTAGTCTATGTATGTTTTTATCCATGAGATGGGTTTCTTGTAGGCAGCAGATGGAGGGTTTCTGATTTCTAATCCATTCAGCCAGTCTGTGTCTCCTGATCAGAGAATTTAATACATTGACATTCAATGTTATTATTGATATTTCCAGACTTGTCCCTACCATTAAGTTAGCCATATTCCTGGTTGCTTTTTGTTCTCTTATTGCTGACAAATGGATCACTTTTGAGAGGAAGCAAGATAGACTTCTGTTGCCTTGAACTTCAGATCTCAAGATTCACTTGCTCTCAGACTCCAGGATTTACACCAGTGCCTCCTGCCCAGGTCCTCAGGCTTTCAGCCTCAGACTGAATTACATCAGTGGCTTCTCTGCCTCTGAGGCCTTGGGACTCAGACAGATGCACGATACCAGAATCCCAGAATCTCCAGCTTACCGGTGGCCTGTTGTGGATCTTCTCAGCTGCTGTAATTGCATGAGCCGATTCTCCCAATAAATCCCTTCTTATATGTGTATATATATTCTGTTGGCTCTGTATCCCTAAAGAACCCTAACTAATACAGTCAGTTTTCATAATTATGGTACAGCAATTAAAATCTGTTATATATTGCTTTGATTCAGCTATATACAATTAAATAGAAAAAGAAATTCAAATTTAAAAAAGAAAATTATACACAGAAGAGTACCACAACCAACCAGGCTGATCAAGAGCCACATTATTAAGATATTAAGAGTATCTAGAATTGGGACCAGCGTTAACATAATGGCTATGTTGCTGGACTCCCATGTAGTTGACCGCCCGGACCGGTGGCTTAAACTCACGCTGGGTGCGTGTGCGTGTGTGCCCAAGATCTCAAGAGGACAATGGAGAAGGGATTGCGGCATGGCCATCCCCCCTAAGGGGTGATTTCTTGCTTTCTGTCTCTCTGTTTCTCTTTGTCTTTCTGGCGAGCGCACGCGCCCTGCAGCAAAAACCTCTCAAAAAAAAAAAAAAAAGAATATCTAGAATCAACCAGCTAACATTTCTCTGCTTGACCAAATTTTCCCAAAAAAGTACGTTCAGAAGAAAATCTCTTTCTGAAACTCTGAGATAGTTTCATGTTGAGTTATAATGAAGTTAATTTTACTTTATTTTATTTTTTAGGTTTTTGCCATAGGGCATGTGTGCTCTCCAGAGAGAGACAGAGAGGGAAAATGAGAAATAACCCCCTAGGGGAAATGGCCATGTTCCAAACTCTTCTCCATCCTTCCCTAGGGATTTTGGGCAAGCACACATGTACACATACCCTGCATGATTTTCAAGCCACTAGGTCCAGTACTTGAACCATGGTAGACCATGTGGGAGTCCAGCACCTTAACCATCATGTTCAGAACAAAATCTGTTTTACTCTGGGATAGTTTGACTTTAAGAGTCATAAGGGCCAGCAGGTGGCATGGTGGTTAAAGCACAGGACTCCCACATAGCTGACCATGGTTAGTTAGAATCCCAGACCTGGTGGCTTGCTTGCTCACTCTCCTTCTCTCTCTGGTGAGCACACGAACCCCATAGCAAATATTTAAAAATAGCAAGGTAATTCTTCAGAGAAAAAAGTTATCATGTAGTAATTTTTTTTTATAAGAGCCAAATGCTAACCTTTCCTCTGACATATGCACACATACATATACACGTAGACACACACACACAGGAACTCTCTTAACATTGAATTATAATTCAATCTAATTACACTTTACCTTTACAGTCTTCGATATATGACTGTCGCAAGGCTGAATGTAACACAGTCTTTTCTCTTTTCTCATCTCACAGTTGCTGTTTTCATTGGTTACCCTATTAGATATCCCCATCCCACATGTTCTGGAGCAAGGAGTCCACTTTGTTGCTTGCACAAGACATTTTCTTTTCCAAATAAGTGGGAGATTCCTGTAAGCTAAAATTAAGGGAAAGTGTGTATACATACACATATACACATATATCTGCATAGATAAATCATTTTTTAAATAATTTTAAGCTAATATTTAAGAGAGATGAATCTTTATATGCTATAACTCAGAGTAAAAGCAGCTGTAGTCTAATTTATCATTCTCTCTCCCTTTTTCTCCCCAAATTACCTTTCAGTCCTGTTACAGTCCAATTTTGTTGTTGTTGTTCAGTTTTGCTATAGGGTGCATGTACCCACCAGAGAGAAGAAGTGAGAAATCACCCCCCTCCCCCCCAAGGGAAAGACCATGCCTCAATCCCTTCTCCATTCTCTCAGGATTGGGGCATGCATACACACTTGCCTAGTGTGCTTCTCAAGCCATTGGGTCCAAGATTCAAAGCCCAGAGAAAGCCATGTGGGATCCAGCACCTTAATCACCATGCCACCCACAGGCCCTATAGTCTCATTTCTTAGGAAGAATAAAAATACTTTATCTTTTGGAAACTGAGTAGATTTACCCACTTGCATCTGTCCTCTGAGTGCTAAGTACTGTTTTTTTCCTGGTTTTTGCCTCATACTTGATATTATTTCCCACAGATATTGAAATAAATATAAATATTAGTAGGTTTGAGATATTAATCAGAACAATGTGATCTTAATGTTAAAATTTCATGATATATTGCAATATTAAATATAAAAGTTATATTTGATAATTTGACTATGAATGAGGCCAATTTTTGCTTTTCTTTTTTTTCTTTTTTTTTTTTTTGTTGATTCATGATAGGTGCAAAGAAAGAGAACTGCCTTTCATTGGCTCAATCACACTACAATCTCCCAATCTTCTTCTTCCAGTTCTCTAGCCCATCAAGATGGTGGTCACATGGTGCACGTTCACACACACATACACACACTCACAGAATGTTTTCAGGCCACATAGACTGGGGACTTGAACTGCAGCCAGAATATGGCTTCCAGCTCTGCAGTCTGGTATGTGACCAATCGTATCACAGAGGCTATTCCTCTTCTTGTTTTCAGCTAGTCTTTTAGAAAATTCTCTAATAGATTGAAGTAATTTACACTGAACTAAAATGACATTGTATACCAAGTCATGGCAAATGTGTAATCACATTCATTTATTCATTCACTTAATTAGTACATTCTCTTATGTTATCAGGCCCACAATACTCTTGGCTAGCCATTTCAAATCACTCATGGAAAAACAGAAAATGAGTGGATCTGTGGATGGATTAGTCATCAAGTGGGTGTGTCTGCTGCTTAGGAGAAATAGAGGAAGAGGAGAAGTGAAAGTATCAGAGGCATAATAATCCTTTCATCTCCATGTAAGTCCTTTGATACCTCCTTATATTCGTAAATAGATCAGATCCTTGTTTTCTTCTAAACAAACTGCATACCCATTTGTTGTCTTGGGGTAGTTCCTTAAGGTTTAATATGCATCTTAAAATGAATGCTTTGGGAGTAAGATTATAATTTGAGTGTAACATAATCCTGGTTATTTTTGCTTAAAAAAATCCATTTAAAACTCTAAAAAGACTCAGGAACCAGCAGATGGTGTAACATTTATGTCGCTGGACTCCCATGTAGTCGACCACAGATCAAGTCCTAGACTTGGCAGCTTAAATCTCATGCCAGGCGCATACGTGTCCATGTCCAAAATCCCAAGAGAAGAATGAAAGAGAAGATATTGTGGAGTGGTCATCCCCACAAGGAGTAATTTCTAACTTTCAGTCTGTCTGTCTCTGTCTTTTCAGCAAGCACATGCCTCCTATAACAAAAAAAAAAAAAACTTAAAAAAATTTTTTAATTATGGAAAGACTCAGAAAAATGCCTTCTTGACAATATATTGACATTGAAATATCAGTCACTTTGAAGTGTGTGCTTTCTTTGAAACTGCTCTTACCCCACAATTAGGACCACTTTGAACCTGATCCAAAGGCTTTACTTGCGGAAAACCACTGCTCTAAAGCAGTCTATTCAGGAAGATTCATACATGGATTCTAAGAAGAGTTTTATGTCAAGTAACTCAGATCCAATGCAGAAAACCAACTACGACCGTACATCTTGGAAAAAGAACAATTTGGCTTATCATTTCAGAGGTTTAGAGTATTAGTACTGTCATCCTGTTAGTTGTGTATTTATTATAATGGAAATTCACCACGATCTTGTACATTTTAATTACGTCAAATTAACTGATGTGATCAGAGTCCCTGAGGATATTCCTCTCATATAGTTTATTTTTTTTACATATCTAAAACCAATTTCTTTGATTACAGTTGCTTTTATTAAATATCTGCATCATAAATGTGAACTTAGGAGTTTTTAGCTTATTCTGTATTTCCACGGCATCTTTCACAAAGCTTAAATTTCAAAAACATAGTTGATTTCTGGATGTGAACAAGAAAACAGGCCTCCTATTACCTGCACTATCTACATACATGGGCAGCCTACTTCAAAGTGCCTGTGTGTGTGTGTGTGTGTGTGTGTGTGTGTGTGTGTGTTTACAAAGAGCAAGACTGGTAATTGTTAAACTTCCAGTTCATGAAAATTGAATGAAAGGGCTTTATATCAGTTTTCTAATTTTTAAAAACAATACAAGTTCAAAACATGTATCAGTCCTCAAACATTTATACTCAGTAGCCTTCCATTTCTACTTGTATAAACTAGAAAACTTGCCTTTGAAAATTTTGACAAGTGTATGGTTAAAACTCTTGCCCATAATAGAATGATACAAAAAGAAATTTTTTCAGGGTACATGTGAACGGTATTTGGAAACTACTGTTTTCCTGAGAAGAAGTGGCATAAGCAGACATAGAAGATTTTAGAAAAGCTTCCTGACCTAGTAGAGCTTTCTTTTTTTTCCATTGCCAGATGGCTTGTGTGCTCACCAGAGAAAGAGCACTCCCAATGGGGCATGGTCGTGCCACAATTCTTTTTCCCCCATTTCTTCTTCCTATCAGGATTTGGGGCACAAATGCACATGTGCCCCACACATTTTTTCAAGCCACCAGGGCCAGGATTCAGACTGTGGTCAGCTATGTAGGAACCAACTCACTCCACATAGCACTTAACCACTATGCTACAGGGACAGTCCAAGTAAAGGTTTTAAAACTGGAATAGTTTATCGTAAAAATCTAAAACCTTTTAAAGTTTCCTTTTCAGATACTTCAACTATACCTGCTGTGGCAAAGACTGAATAAGATGCTGTACTCACAGTCTCACTGTGATCACCAATCCGTAAGTACTTACTAAGTACCCTTGATACATAAAGTTAACATGAGGGGACAGCAGGTGGCATGGTGGTTAAGACACTGGACTCCCACATGACTGATCGTGGTTCAAATCCTGGATCCTGTGGCTTGAAACAAATGCTAGGCGTGTGTGTGTGTGTGTGTGTGTGTGTGTGTGCATGTGTGTGCCCAAAATCCCAGGAAGAGAATAGACTAAAAGGGACTGCAGCATGGCCTTGCCCCCTGAGAGGTGATTTCTTTTTAATTTTTTTTTTCTTTTTTTTGGAGAGGTTTTCGCTATAGGGTGCATGCGCTCGCCAGAAAGACAGAGAGAGACAGAGAGATAGAAAGCGAGAAATCACCCCTCAGGGGGGATGGCCATGCTGCAATCCCTTCTCCTCCTTTCTCCTCTTCGGATCGTGGGCACGAACACACACGCACCTGGCATGAGTTTAAGCCACCAGGTCCGGGACTTGAACCACAGTCGACTACGTGGGAGTCCAGCAACATAGCCATTACACTAACTGCTGGTCCCTGAGGGGTGATTTCTCGCCTCCCTCTCATTATTTCTGTCTGGCACATGTATGCCCTATGGCAAAAATCTTTTTTTAAAAAAAAAAATGTTAACAGAAAACCACCAAAAGTCATACATGACATAGCTCTGCTATGAGCACCTGGCATTGTTTTGTAGCGTGTTGAAAGCTGCTGTTGTAGTGGCCCCAGGCCACAGTGTAGTAGGTCAGACTTCTTCCGGCCATTAGCTCCAGAGCAGTGACTGTTGTCCAGCTTTGGTATGAAGCGAGGTGTGCATCCAATGGCCCCGCTCACACAGAGGCAAGTAAACAGGGGACTGGGCTGGAACACCTGGCCATTATAGTAATGAACGCCACTGAACTCACACCCAACAGCTATCAGGTCTGAAACGAGAAATGAGCACAATCACCAAGGAAGCCCTAACTCGTGATAGTCACCCTGTAATGACAAACCTTAGAAGTAGCCATCTCCTTTATGAAGTACAGTTTTTCAAGTCTTAGGCTTCATTTAGAACCTCTTCACAGAACATTTGTAGAAATTATAAAATGAGGCATTTTCATAATATTTTAGGCTATACAAGTGACCCAAGTGACCACTTCCAGAATTTAGACCAAGTAAAGACCTAGTTCTGGAGTAAAGTTCATTTAAAAAAAATTTTTTTTAAATTGTAATTATGGCAGTGAGATGATTATCATAAATCTGAGAGATGGGTCGATGCCTAGCGAGACTGATTTCCCCCAAATGTTCAACAATAGGCTAAAATAGATTTCTTTTTTTAAAATTAATTTATTTTACATTTTTTCACTGAACATCACCACAGCATACAAAATGTGATTTCCCATCCAGAATACACTGTAAAATGGCTTAATTTGTTGACATGTTATTGTCAACAAATAATTTTCCATTTCTTGTTTCCCCCCCCTATTTCTCACCCTTTGCCATTTCCCATTCTCCTCCCACCCTGTCTCTGGTATCTGTAGTTGTTTTCCATTCCTTTATTCTTTCCCACATTTTATTGATTCACAAATTAATCTAAATACTTTCAATAGTAAGTTCAGCTGATATATACATATCTGTGAACACATGTTCACTTTAGGCATGAAACTCTGTGGGTAGGATGAAGATACTGTAAAGTAGCACCTAGCCGAGGCTATGTAGTTTACTGTGATCATTAAATAGGTATTTTTTTAAATATATTTTAAGCATATTTTCTAATTTCAAGAAAAGCAGTTTTAGCTTTAATAAATCAAAATTTAAAAAATGTTAAGAGAACTTTGTTTAATACGTAAAGCCAGGAAACAGGTTAGGATTCTGCTTGAGTAGTGGGTACATGGACCTGTCCACAATTCAAGAGAAGACAAAAATCCTTAACAATGGAAAACAAAGCATAGGAAATCAGTAATGTTTTAGTCAAAAGTCATAAAATTTTATTTCACCAGTTCAAATTCATGTACTTTATCTTCTGCTGTGGTCCCATCTTTCTGTTTATATTCTGGAAGATAACGTTTATCTCTGGACTTTTCCCTACCATTAAGCTGGCCATTTTCTTAGTCATTTTAGAACTCATTTCTGTGTCTAACTTTGGTTTTCCTGGGATAGCACTCCCTTCAGAACTTCTTGGAGAACTGGTCTAGTGTTGGTAAATTCTTGCAGATTTTGTTTATCTGAGAATGTTCTTGTCTTCTCTTCCCATATGAAAGATAATCTTTCCAGATATAGTATTCTTGGTTGAAATTGGTTTTCACTTAACACTTTGAGTGTATTTTCTCATTCTTTCCTTGCTCACGTTGTTTCTGATGAGAGGTTCGCTGTTAGCCTGATGGGATGTCATTTGTAGGTGACTTGATGTTTCTCTCTTGCCAGTCTTACTATCTTGTCTTTGTCTGTGGTTCTGGTCATTCTGGCTATACTGTGTCTTGGAGAAGTTCTTCTTGGGTTGATCCTATTTGGGGAGCTTTGTATTTCTTGGGTCTGGATCTTTGAATGGCTCTCTCTAAGTTTGGTAAGTTTTCTTTCAGGATTTTATGGAATAGATTATCAATCCCCTTATTAAGGGGATACCAATTAGCCAGATGTTTGGACGTTTAATAGTATCTAGTATTTCTCGTATATTATTCTCATTTTTGGGGCTATTTTCTCAGTCTTCGTGGTGGATTTTACTAGTCCAGCGATTCTGTCTTCTACATCTAAGATTCAATTTTCTGTATAGTCTGCTTTTATTACTTTCACAGAAGGTTTTGACTTCCTGAATTACAGCCTTCATCTCCAACAGTTATATTTGATTCTTTTTATGGTGTATATTTCCTCTTTCAGCTCTCACAAGAGCTTCCTCACCTCCTGGAACTCATCAGCTATTTTCTTCTGGAGTTCATTGTCTCCCTTCTCTTCCATCTCTGTTACCTTTGTCCCAATCAATATTCTGAATTCTTTATTAGACATTTCCACGAGTTCCATTGTACTGTCTGTGGGTGAAGAAGTGTTATTCTTTTTCCTTGGGGGAAAGGTATTTTCTTGGTTTCTCATATTTCTTGTGCCTCTGCAGTGATTTCTAATCATCTGATAGGTTATTCATTTCTTCCTAATTTCTATAAATTCAATCTGAGCAGTCAGGTGCAGTCAGGAGGAATTGGTCTGCAAACTCTTTGGCATTCCATTTTTCTCCCTTTGTGTCGCAGATTCAGTGAGAGTTGAGGAATATGAGGACCCTAATAGTATTCGAATGCTTGGCTTCTTTTTACATAGACCTGTGTAGACATTCAGTGCATGGAGGTTGAGCAGCAAAGTGATGAAGTAAGAGAAAAAGGATTAAGAAAAAACAAAAACAGAGAGAAAGAAAAAAGAGAAAAAAGAAAAAGCAAACAAACAAAATTTATTTATTTATTTTTAAAAACAAAAAAAAAGTGAAAAGAGACAGAGACAGAGACAAAGAGAAAAGGACAGAAGGGGCTCTACCGGGGTGACTTCTCGGCAGAACATCTTCATTGCTCTTATCCCTGAAAGCACTAGATCTCAGCTCTCAGGGCAGACTCAGTCTTCTTTAAAATAAATTTCTTAGACAGGGTAAGTGAATGTTACAAGAAACCATCATTTATTTAACTACAGTACTGCAAGGAGACATTTTTGTCGTTGCTAAAAGAACTGCAGGGGACTTTCACTTCCTCTGAGGGATATTCTTGACCTTCAGGATCAGCAGTTTTCCAAGTGTGGTCCATCACCCCTTGGCAGTATCTGAGATGCTTTCAGGATCTACAGGGTCAAAACTCTTGTATATACGAAGCAGTAATTGATCTTTTTCGCCATGTGGATATTTTCACGGGTGGTACAAAAGCAATGGTGGCTAAAACTGCTGACACCTTAGCATGAATCAAACTATACAGGCAGTCATGGTATTTTCCCTCCTCATGCCATGCATGTTTCACCAAAGAATGTCCTTAATGGCACAGTAAAAAGGATTATTGTTATGAAATCTTACCTGTCAAGTGCTTATCTTCCTTATATTCTGTAGGACAAAATAGGAAGTATACATAAAACATTAACTGTTGAGGAAAGTCCCCTGTGCTATTGTGAAGGTCATGAGCCAAACTAGCTACTTTTTTAGTGGGGATTTTACTTGAAGAAATGACTGACAGATAACTAGTTATTCAGATGTGGGTGTTTTGGGAACAAAGTGGCCTGTCACTTCAGGAAAAACAACTGACATTTGTTGCAATGATAGAATTCAAGCTTTCAAGAAAAAACTAATTTTTGAAAACTTGTATTTTTATACCTACTCAACATACAGACTTTTCTGATGAGAAAATTAATGTGATTTTTTAGTACTATAGAATTAATTACATCATTATGTTGAGCATCTACATAACACAGGAAACTGATATTTCCCAAATAACCAATTCATAAAATAACCTAATTATACATTAGTAAAAGTCTCATTCCAGGATACACCAATGTATTTTAATATCATAGAGCTAAAAGTTCATTGAGGTGGTTTCAGATTCCATGATGCAGCTAAATTTTACTAAACTACCACTCATCAATTTTTGATATCAAAAAAATGTATTCACAATTATCTGAAAATTCTGTTTAAAAATATTCCTTTCAGGGCCAGCAGGTGGCATGGGGTTAAGGTGCTGAATTCCCACATGAATGATTATGGTTCGAGTCCTAGACCTGGTGGCTTGCTTTTTCTCTCTCTCTCTCGCTTACTCTCTGTCTCTCTCTGGTTGAATTGAATAATAATAATGATAAATAAATAAATTTAAAGAAATAATTCTTTAAAATATATATATTCCTTTCAGAGCCAGCCCCTTGACCTAATGGTTAAGAGAGCTGGATCCTATATGGTAAACCACAGTTCAGATCCCTGTCCCAGCAGTTTATGGACACACCAGGTACCTGTGTACATTCCCGAAATACAGATGAGGTGGAAAGATAGAAGAGAGGTGACTGCAGCATGACTACACCCATCTGGGGGTGCTTTTCTCTGACTTCCTCTTTCTCTGTCTCTCTCCAGGGAATACATGCACTGACAATTAAGGGGAAAAGAACTTGGACCCGCTCTGTGGGATTTGCTTAAGGCAACAAGATTTCCTACATCTGATTGCGTGGTATGAGTCCTGACCCACTGGCTTGAGAAACATGCCAGACACATGTTTCATGAGTGCCCAAAATACTGAAAGGAGAAAGATTACATGTGTGCGTGTGTGCCCAAAATACCAAAGGAGATGGATTGCAGCATGACCATTCTAAATGGGGTGTTTTCTCCTGTTCCTCTCCCTCTGTCTGTTTCTGATGAGTACATATGCCCTCTATGAAAAAAAATAAAACGTACTCCTTTCTTCCTTTCTCTTTGTATTACATATCTATGCAAAGTCATATATGAAGGGGTTTTACAAAGTTCATGGAAAAACAGAATTAAAGTATGAGTTTATTTTGGCATTTAGTTGACCACGGTTCGAGTCCTGGACTCGGCGGCTTAAACTCACACCAGACACATGTGCGTGTGTGCCCAAGATCCTGAGAGAAGAATGGAGAAGGGATTGTGGCATCGCCATCCCCCCTGGGGGGTGATCTCTTGCTTTCTATCTCTCTGTCTCTGTCTTTCTGGCAAGCACATTCACCCTATAGCAAAAGCCTAAAAAAAAAAACCAAACAAACAAAAAAAAAACCAACAACACTTGAAATCCATGGATAATCTTTCCTATTTTCCATTAACTTTTTGAAAACTCTCATTTCAAGCAGAAAAACATAGCAACAGATTGGAAGCCGAAGCAGATGTGGGAATCAGCTATCCTCTGTTGTGCTAGACACTAGAGAAATTTGCAAAATGTATAACAATGCCACTTACTAAAGTTTGCTTTGTTTTGAAAAACAAGTTTTTCATAAAAAATATATTAACTTAAAATGTGTTTGTTTGTTTGGTTTAATTTGCCAGAGGGCACATGTGCTCACTGGAGAGACAGAGAAAGTGAAAAAGCATCCCCTCACAGGGAATGATCACGCTATAATCCCTTCTTCATTTCTCCCTCCTTTTGAGATTTTGGTCACAGGTGCACATACACCCAGCATGTTTCTCAAGCTGCCAGGTCTGAGACTCAAACCACATAGCCAGCCAGCCATGTGGTTTGAGTCTTAACCACCTGTGACCAGCTGGTCCAGGGTTTCTTATTTTTAAATGAATTAACAAATATCTTTAAATCTCTAATCTATTAACTATCAACACATAAAAACCCATATGAACAAAAGCTCTTTGGGTCCTTATTAATTTCTAAGACTAGAAAGGAGCCTTTATTTAAAATTAAGTTTTTAAAACATTGTTCTAGATCTGAGATTGCAAATTTTCCATAAAGGCCCCTATGGTAAACATCTTAGTCACTGGAGGCCATACAGTTTCTGTGAAAACTACTGACTCTGAGACAGCCATACGCTATATATCAATGACTGGGTTGTGTTTCAATAAAATATTATTTATAAAAACACAGTGTGGGCTAGATTTGTCATCCCATTCCCATTCTCATGCACTGTTACAAGTCTCATAACACTTTATGTAAAATTACTTGGGGAAAGATCTTTCTGACACGAGAAGCTTCCATTCTGTGAAGGCAGGGTCTGTGTCTCTCATTTCCTCTGCTGTGTCCCCAGTTGCTGGTCACAGAGCCTGACTCCGTCACGGATATCAAGTGTTTCTTAGCTTACTGAGATATCCTGCCCAGTTTGGGATAAAAGAATGTCTTGACTGCCAGAATCTTTAACAGATCATGTTTGCCCCATAGAATTCCCGTAAATAATAAACAGTTTTGAAAGTCTGCTATATTCCAGATGTTGTGTTAGATATTTCAGGTTTTATATCATGATTTCATTCAATCCTCCCAGCAACTCTGTAAGATAGGTACATTTGATGTGACAGAGGCACAGAGAGCTTAAACAACTTGATCAAGATCATACAGCAGAGCAATCAGGATTTGAACCCAGACCCATATTCTTACCTAATACAGTACACCAGACTATTAGACTGGAAGGACTAACAGGAGCACCAGACTATTAGACTGGAAGGACTCTACACATTCAGGCCGGCTCCAAAGATTCCATGTGCTCAACCAAATTTCTTGTGGTAATTTCTTCCCACTTAGACTTTTCTATAAAATGACTAAACTGCCCAGCTGACATAAATAGCTCTCTATCCTGAGGAATTTTTTTCTTTTTTGCTAGAGAGCTTGCACACTAGCCAGAGACTAAGAGGGTGGGAGAGGAAAAAGCAGCCCCCATAGAGAATGGTCACGCTGCAGGTACCTCTTGTAGGAATTTGGGGCATGCATGTTTAGATAACTGGTATGTTTCTCAAAACATCAGATCCAGGACTCAAACTTCACCAAGTCAACCATGTGAGATCCTACCTCCTTAACCACTGTGCCACTGGCTGGCCCTCAGATTGGTTTTGATGGTATTAACAAAAACTGTTGTGTGGTACTTTAAGAAGTCAGGTTCTGTTTACATTGTTTCTCCTATTTTCTATCATTAGCAATTACCTGAGAATTGCAAGATCACTTTGATGTGATGAAAACAATAGGTTTGTGAATGTATCTAAGCATCTGCTATTTTCACACAGTGCCCAATGCAACACAGCCAGTCCCACTTCTAGGTGAAAACTGAATCTTCTTTGTATCTAGCCAAACTAAGCTTGATCACTCCAAATTAACAAGTGCAGAAAAAAATGTACCTAGACTCCGCCTTTTCCAGTAGGTCCTAAAGAAGACACTTACATGCACACACTCCGGTCTCGTACCTAGGCCTGTCGGCTGAGTAGTCACAGTATAACCCTTTGTGTGGGTCACAGAGGTCAGCTTCATTGCAGATGTCCCCTGGTTGCTTGGCACAAATTTTACAGCATCCACAGCCATCCCTCACCAAGCTCACTCCAGGAGGGCAACTGGGCTTCTGATGACATTTGCAAGGCCAGTGACAAAACTGCTTACGCTGATGTGCGTCTGCTTCTCCAGGCCTTCCTGCAGATGGCTTGTCTTCAGGTATCGTGTCTAACAGCCCAGCACCCTGTGCTCTGCAGCAGAACTGTATTTGAGAACGAAAATGACTTTAGAATGGCTCCTCACACTTATTTCAGAGGCCTTACAAGAATACAAGATTTCCCCCAAATAGGCATAATACAGGATGGTTTATCTCTCAGCATTGACACAATCTCACTCTTAAGCTATTCTTGACCCAGTTTCTCAGACATCACTTTTATTTCTCTCTTCTCGCTGATTTCTTTTCAGTTTCCTTTGCCAGTTTCTTCACATCCTCCTGATTGTTAAACATGGGAGCCCCCTGTGGCTAACATCCCTGAAGTATCTTCCCTTCCTCTCCTATATCCCACCCAGACTTTATTCCAACTCAGACTCAAAGGCCTACTTACCATCTCCACTTAGGCATTTAGTAGGCATACCAAAGTTTTTTAAGTGTACTGATCTTCCAAGAGCGAGACATGGAGGAAAGAGCGAGAACAGGCACATGAGTCTAGTAGAGGGAAGTCCCAGGACATAAACACCGTGTACCACTCCTACCAGTCTACTCTTCTGTACACTTCCCTGTTCAAGCAAATGTCAAAATCCTTTGGAATCAGATCATCCTTAACGTTTCTTTTTCACATTTTACATCTAATCCCATCAGTAAATCATGCAGGTTACACCTTTAATATATACCCATCCTGATCGTTTTATCTGTATACGTCAATCATTTATTAATCATTCTCTGCTACTATTGTGATCCAACCCCATTGTTTTTCACTTAGACAATTATGATGGCCTCCTGAAGGCTCTCCTTGCTTCCCTCTTTGTCCACTCTGAATCCTGCATCCAGAATTATTCTTTAAGAGCAAATCGGTTATATCTCTTTTTGCTCATGAGGAATGATTTTTTTTTTTCTTTTTTTTGGAGAGATTTTCACTGTAGGGTGCGTGCGCTCGCCAGACAGACAGAGAGAGACATAGAGACAGAAAGCGAGAAATCACCCCCCAGGGGGGATGGTCACGCCGCAATCCCTTCTCCTCCATTCTCCTCTCAGGATCTTGGACACGCACGCACACGCGCCTGGCGTGAGTTTGAAGCCACCGGGTCCGGGACATGAACCGCGGTCGACTACGTGGGAATCCAGCGACATAGCCATTACGCTAACTGCTGGTTCCCAGGAATGATTTTTTCATGGCTTCCCATTTCAGTGTAAAAACCCACACTATGCTCCAAGACCCAGCAGCATCCAGCCCCCACTCTCTGGCTTACTTTGCCACACATACTGACCCTACATTCCCTTCACTGAGCTACCCTAACCCCCGTGTTCTTCCAGCACTCAGACTGTGCTCGCCTCTCTATCTTCATGGCTCACTCTTATACTTTCTTTGGGTCTGAGTTCAAATTTCCAAATTAGGCCCTTTGTCCTCCCTTTATTAAAAAGCATCCTAGCCTTTGTTCCATAGACCTTCTTACCACCTGCCTTATCACATATATTTCAGTTTACTTGTTTATTTTCCAATTCCCACGTCAGGAATATTAGCTTCCTGAGTGCAAGGTCTTTGACTAATGTTTGTCTTGTAATCACAAGAAATACTTATTTAAATGTTTTATTTATTGTATGTATTGACACTCCCTATGTGCTTTACATGGTTATCTCATTTAATCTTCCTAACAACAGTATGCAGTAGTTAGTACCTGAAGTGACAGGCGCAATAATGATCCCCTCAAAGACGTCCATGTCCTAATTCCTGGAACCTGTTTATATGCAAAGTAGTCACACCCCAACCCCCAGAGACGGGCAGCAGCAAAGGATGCCACCAGAGCAGCCTTTCGAAGTAGGAAAGGGAAAGAATGGATTTTCTCCCGGAGCTTCCAGAAGGAATGTGGTCCTGCAGGCACTCGATTTTGGCCCTAGAAGGCCTATTTTCAGACTTGAGATGTCCAGAATTGCAAGGTAATAAATCTGTGGGGGTTTGGTTTTGGTTTTAGTTTGCTCTAGAGTATGTGCACTGCCAGAGACAGACAGAGAAAGAGGGAAAATGAGAAAGCACCCCCAGGGGGATGGTCACACCTCTCTCTCCTCCCGTCCACTCTCCTCTCCAGATTTGGGGCATACAGGCACATGTGCCTGGTGTGTTTTTCAGGCCACCGGTCTAAGACTCAGACCATGCAGTCACCCCTGTGGGATCCAGCCACTTTAACCACCATGCACCAGCTTGCCCTTAAGCCACCAAGTTTGTGATGATTTGTCATGGTCGCCATAGGCAACTCCATTTTACAGATGAGGGCCATGAGGCTCAGAGTTCTTAGCCTGTCACAGGCTACATGTCATGTAAGTGGTAGAAGAAGGATTGAAATCAGGCAGGCAGGTCCCAGCGCTGGAGCTCTCAATGCTTACCCTCCTTCCTTCTAGTCTAGCTCCTGCTGCAGACCAGCTTTGACACTGAACAAATCAGTTGTTTCTCTCACCTGTGCTTAGACCTCCTCCCTTAATTGCTCATTAATTGCTCCTGAGCATGTCCACTTTGATGTCCTATCTGTACTTTGTTTTCTCCCTTCTGCCGACAGATGGATCCTTAGCTAGCAATTCCCATTTTAAAGAGTGGTGCTGCTGTCCACTCAGGTTCCCGAGCCAGGAGGCTTACCTAGATTTCGCCCTCTCTTTCATCATTCGCACCAGAAAGTTACTGACATACAAGAAAGCTGAAACCCTTCAGCACAGCATTCAGGGCCCTCCTCATCTCTGGCATTCTTTATCTTCCTTAGGTTCCAGAAAGTTAAAGTATTTGCAGTTTCCCTGCATATACGATGCCGTTCCTCTTACCTGGGATATTCTTTACCGGGTCTCACTCCTTCTTTGTAGGTATCCTTCTGTTTAGGTATCAAGTTTGCCAATAAGCTCTCCATAACCTTCCCTCCTTGTACAAGTCCTTGTACTGAAGTTGTCAGCATGAGTGCCTGTCTCCACCACTACCCATAAAGCTACCCAACTTCTGGAACTCAAGGTTCATTGGAACATAATGCAGTGCCTGGCAATTAGTTTATAGAACTAAATCTCAATGTTTAGTTCATGGAATCAAGGGTAGTTAGATTGAACTAACCCCAGCCAGGACTTAGGATACACAGTAGACAGTAGAAGCTCATCAAGAGAAGTCTTGGAGAAGTCCACAGCTGGCTGGGCAGAGCACTTTGCTGCCCAAGAGAAGCCCACCAAACTGAAGTTTAAAGAATGCCAGACCCCAGAGAGGCCTGCAGAGGAGCCTGGGGGACAAGAGGAGGAAGGCGAGACTGCAGGAGAGGCTCCCAGAGTTCATTGAGCAGTCACCCAGAGAACATCCCCAGTCAGCTTCCTGTCTCTTTTGTCTAGGCCTCTCACCTCCAGATGTCTGTTTCAGATCAGCCTACCTATTTTTTGTTTTGTTTTGTTTTAGGTTTTTGCCATAGGGCATATGCAGTCACCAGAGAGTGAACAGAGAGAAAGTGAGAAATCACCCACCAGGAGGGAGGATGGCCACGCTATAATCCTTTCTCTTCCATTCTCTTCCCAGGCTTTTGGGTATGCACACACACACACACACACACACACACACACCCCTGGCATGATTTTCAAGCCCCCAGGTTCTGGATTCAAACCGCCATGTGGGACTCCAGCACTTTAAACACCATGCCACCCGCTGAACCCAGCCTACTTTTTTTTTAACTTAGATGCCCTTAATTCTTAGAATAATTCCCCTGCTCCCTTCAACCTGGAATAAACTTGACAAGCAAGCCCACTAACAAGACTCTCTTAGTTTAGTTTTATCTAATCTAATACATGTTATTGTATAAATGCAGCATCATCTAAAAAGAAAGAGAAAGCCATGACTGAGAGAATGGAAGTATTGACTTACAGGAAAATAACAATACACATGAGATCTAACTTGTCATCAAAAGGAAGAGGAAGAGAAAGAAAAGAAAATGCCCAGAGACAATGCTAAAAGAAATGGAAAAACAAAAAGCCTGCCAACCTAGAATTCAACATGCAGTGAAGCTGTCTTTCAAAAATGAAGCTGGGGACCAGCAGTTAGCGTAATGGCTATGTCGCTGGACTCCCACGTAGTCGACCGTGGTTCGCGTCCTGGACCCTGTGGCTTCAAACTCCCGCCGGGCACATGTGCGTGCATGCCCAAGATCCCGAGAGGAGAATGGAGGAGAAGGGATTGCAGCGTGGCCATCCCCCCTGGGGGGTGATTTCTCGCTTTCTGTCTCCCTGTCTCTCTCTTTCTGGCGAGCACACGCGCCCTATAGCAAAAACCTCTCCAAAATAAGAAAAAAAAATGAAGGTGAAAGGGAACACAGACAACCAATACCTTAAGGAAATTTTGGCCAGCAGATAGTTGTATTTCTTGCCTCACAAGAAATACTAAAGGAAGATCTTCAGTCCAAGAGGAAATTACAATAGATAGTAACTCCTAAATACAGGAAGAACTGGAGAGGCCTAGAAATTGCAAATATGTTGGTAAATAAAAAGGCTTATATTCTTCTCTTTTCTCTAGACATATTTTGTTTTCAAAAGCAAAATTTGAAGACAACATAAGAATCATTGGAACGGTACAATAGAAAGAATGAGTGTTTGTGGCAATAGAGCTGACCTTTTGCATAGCTCCTCTGATCTTAGATAACTTCCTACCATTTGATCTTTGAGCTTCAGTCCTCCTCCATAAAATAGAACCAGTAATACCCATCTTGCAAGGTCATTTTGAAGATTTAGATGGTGACTCACGTGCCTTACACACAGCAGATGTTCGACAAGGGGTAGATGTTATCAAACCCTTCAAAAAGTCATAAAGCCAAAGTTAAATGTAAAATAATACGCTCTGTGGCTCTATGTTTAACTTTTGTGTGTGTATGTTTTTGGTTTGTATTTTATTTGTATGTATAATTTATTTTGTTCTATATTTATTTTGGGTTTTCTCTTGATTTATTTATCCTCTCTCTGTGTTGGAACACTTGCTGGATAAGAAAAAAGAACAACTCTCAACCCATAGTAGTGGCAGACTTTGCTCAAGAAAGGTGGAGTAGCAGAAGGTCGATCTCACTTCTCCTGGGCAGCGTGATCTTCTCCCTAACAGTGGGCATGACCTAGACCACAGACAGCATTCCTTTCTTGTCATGATCCTTTTGAAAACTTCATTCTCTTTCTGTATAATAAAGCAATTTCCAATATTTTGTTTTCTAAGCTGTATCTACTACTTAAGGTCCCAATCAACTGTTAACTGAGACACATCCCTATTTTCTAATTCACCAGAAAATGCCAAAAAAAAAAAAAAACCTCTTGTGCCAGCATTAATCTCCACCACATAAATAAATCAATAATCAAGTCACCCCATTTTAATCTTATTTTAAAAACCTCACGCAATGAAATGCTCATATTAAATTAAACTTCCCTTTGGTCTGTTGCTTGAAATATTTCAAAGCCTTCATGGACTGATTTCCTTTTATGAAGTGAGAAACACATGGATTGAGAAAAGACTAAATCATAGAATGTTTAAAAAATGCAAACGTTTTTCAAAAGCACTCCTTTCAACCGGGGACAAGCTTAACTGAAAAAAAAAACTTGTTAAAATGTGTTTTTCCAGGGACTCTGCACATTTTGCAAACAGCTTTGGAAAGTTGAGCCCCAGCCTGGAACCCACATGAAGAGACGGTTTCTTCCACCGTGCCCAGCAGCACGGCACTGCGGCTTCCCAAATAGGTGGTGTGTGCTGGACTACAATAACAAAATACGTAGTAAGCCTTGGGACTGTTCGAACATATCTGAGTGGACTTCAATGCCATCACCTGGAGGAGAGCAATGTTTTACATCTCACTCGTGAAGCTAATGAACTACAACAGAACTTTATTTGGAGAGGAAAATTTCCATGAAGCCTTTCCACAAGTAACTTAGCCCTCTTCTTCCCCCATGTTCTTTTTCACCTTCGGCTGAAGAACTGAGAATGGCGATAGTCTCCGAAGGACAAGAGCAAGAAGAAAGCACTTACCTGTGTCAGCGCAGCAAGGAGAAGGGTGAGGAAGAGGAGCCCCTGCATGGTGCTAGGGCCCAGGGAGCAGCCCCGAGAGACAGAGACAGTGGAGCTGGCTCATGGCTCAGGGTACACAAAGCTCCCCTGTCTCCTCTGCAAACCCCACAGCTCCTCGGCGGAGGAACACACGCCTCCACCTCCCACGCTCCTAACTTGCAGACTGTACTTTCGTTTTAAGGATCCCTTTTAACACCCTGTTTACTTTTCTGTGCCACTTCTAGCACTCGCCTTCCCAGTCACTGTGCTGTGTGTCAGGAGAGGGCAGCCCTTCCTCCTGGGACTCGGTGCAGAGCAAGGAGACCTTTCTCTGAGTCACTGCGCTACCTGCCACAGATCAGAGCTTGCCCTCTGGCAAGATGGTGGCTTTAGATGCTCCTCCTCGCTTGCCCTCAGCCTCTCCTGTCTGTTTTCCCTGCCGCATGTGCTCTTGGGCTGCTTCCTTTTTCCCTCTTAGCCCTCACATATGGGATGCTTTCCCCCAGCTCCCCTCTGTGGCCTGGCCCTGGGATTCTCCCTTCACATCCACAGTAAACTTCCAAAGGATCTTCCCGACTCCACCAGCTCTGGTGCTCCCCGCACCCCTGTACTTACCTTGGTTCCAGCACATTTCTCATGCCAGGTAGGCCGTGCTTGGAAAAATACAGATGGGACATAGGTGGACTCCCACAGTAACTCAGTCCCAGGACAGTGGACAGAAACATTAACCCCAATCTCTCAGAGCCCAAGACCAAGCAATTATACTGGTAAGCTATTGTTATTTACTGAGTTAAGCTTAAAAAAACATGTCAGGTTTGTACCCCACCTCCTCCTCATTCTCGCTTCCCAGCTAGTGTGGCCCCCAGCCTGTCTCCTCCTGTGCAGGCATGTATGACTTCTGCCTATCGCTTTCTCAACCTTGGTCTTTGTTCATTTATGTAACATGTATCTGCAGTGGAGCTTTGTCTTCCTGTGGCTCCAGTGTCCGGTCCACCTTCCCCCCCACCCCCATTCCAGGACCTGTTTCTGTTCCCTCTGACCTTCCTAGTGCCTTATTGTGCTTGACTCACTGCTCACCCTTGTGTCTGTTCAAGGCATTCACTCACAGCTGTGTAGAGCACAGTCAGGAATGCACCACACACACCCAGCTGAGAGTCTAAGGAAAATGACTCTCCCCTAAGCACGGGGGATTCAATGTCCTTGGCAGGGCAGGGAGGTCATGAAACACACAGATCCACTATACCCGGCTTACTCCGTGCCCCAGTGAAACTGGACTGCATGCACGTGGTACAAGAATACCTCGTGTCCTGGTGTCAGTGCCTTAACCTGCCTCGCTTAGAAATAGGTCAAAACTTGAAAATTGCTTAATAAAGAAAAATGTCTGTTCGTGGTCCATTCTGATTTCTTTTCTTTTTGTCCTCCAGGTTGAGTGTCATTTGTCCTTTGGATTGCGCACCTCGGGGACTCATGCCCCATGCCAGCCAGCAGAAATCCATCAGTGTCCATCACTCACATCGCTCCTGGGCCCAGTGTGATCCCACACTCATCTGTGCATTGCGAATTTAAGGGGCCCCATGCTCTTCTGTGTTCTCGCCGTGAAATGCTGGCAGCACAGTCATTATTCCAGAACTGTCTTCCCTCCCTCTGCAGCCTCACTGCAGTGGAGCAGAGGCAGGTCTCCTATGGACCACTAGTGCCTCTGGGCAGGAAAGGAACATCTTGTTTGGGAACTGCCTGGCGAAGCCTCCCCGGGTGCACACATCAGCTTCCTCACTGACTGCTGCAGCCAGGACTGTTCCTGTTCAGCTATTTCGAGCCTTCTGGCGGTGGGCTAAAGGCATGTGGCATTGGCAAAGGCTGGGGCTGCTGTCACAAGCAGCGTCCTATTCTGAGCACTCTATCGTCTCACTTAACACATTGCTCATCTGCCCAGGGCCTCTTCCCCCAAGCATTTAGCTCGTGATAGTCATTCGACTAGACATGGCGCGAGGCATAACTAATCTCTGCACCCATGTTTTATGATTTACAAGGACGTTTCCTGTGTGTTATCTTTTTTTAATTTCACAGCTCAATGAGGTAGGCAAAAGCAGTATTACCATCCTCGTTTAACAGATTAAAAAGTTAAAGCTAAGTGATTGTACTTGGTGAATAAAACGCACTTAATCCTTGCCCTCTGGAGCTCTATCATCTCGTGGGAGAAAAGACGCTGAACAAATAAGCACACAAAATGCCCGCCATTAAAACTGAATGAAGGTTCATGATAAACAGCAAGGAACTCCAGAAAAGGATGGCATGTAGGAGTTCATTTAAGTTGGGGACAGAGAGGCCATCTCTGATGGAGTGATACCTCCAACGCTGAGAGATGACACTAAGTCGAGGCTTGGGAGGAGGCTCCTGGTCCAGTGTTCTTTCTCCAGAAAGATGCACACCTTTCATGGTAATGAGCTCCATCTGCAGAGTACATCCCACTGTCTTTCCCATAAGATTCTTTTTTGTAAAGAATTATTTTAACTTTATTTATTTTAATTTGACCAGAGAGGGACAGAGAGAGAGAGAGAAGGAAAGTGAGAAGCAAGTCGCCAGGTCTGGGATTTGAACCACAGTTGATCATGTGGGAATCCGGCACCCATAACCACCACACCACCTGCCAGCCCCTCCCGTAAGGTACTTAAAGCCCTTATGTTCAGAACTTCATCACTGCTAGACTGTTCCCTCCTCCTGGAGGTACCCGCCATGCGGGCAGGCAATGGCCATCATTCACACTTTGGTCTGCACGCTTAGTACTGAGCAGGTCTTCCTCTCCTCATCCCCTCTCCTTCTCTTCCTAGCTTATTGCTGGTGGAGAGCGAGGTACTGTTAGCCTTGAGAAGAGATGGTGCATGGCTGGCTTAGTGACATGTGGAAAGTGCACTACAAGGGAGGGTTGGAATTTGCACGGGTGAAACTAGGGCTATAACCATAATAACAGCTCATGTACACTGTGCTGCATCTCAGTGTTGGGCCATCTGCGCTGTGGATCATCGCATCCATGCAGCAGCGGTAGGTAGGAACGATGACTTTCATATCATCTTTATTGAACTTGCGTGGAAGCTGGGGCAAGGTCATGCAGATGGCAAGAGATAGTACCAAGATTCCCAGCATTTAATCACCTCTCTGCACGGCCTGTCTGCATGGCCCATAAATTACACAATAATCTGCAGCAGGGTGACTTACTGACATATTAATTTGCATTGATTTTTCAATAAATTTCTGCCTCCTGCTCCCCTCCCGATTCTAGGAAGTTATCGAAGCCCTTTGTATTTCCCATCAATCCACCCTCCCAGCAGAAGATGGAAGCTGCTAGAATGTTTCATCCTGTCTTTGAGATTCTGATCTCCTTGAAGAGGTGGGTTGAAGGGGGGGTGGTAGGAGTGAAGCCTGTGTGTTGTGTGAGGGCTGAGCACACAGGCCCTCTTAGTGCAGTGGCCTGAGAGGCAGCTAGAGCCCAGAGGGAAGGGATTTGCTGTCCCACAGTACTTCCAGGAGACCGACCCGGTACCAGGTACCCCTGGCACTAGCAAAATTCCTCAGAGAACTTTGAAAATGCAAAGTATGAAGTGTCTATGTAGACACGGACCTCCTGGATATTTCTAAGAAAATGTAGAAACCAGGGATTAGAGGCCTGGTGGCCTTCTAGGTACCTCCTAGGCCTCTTAGATTGTCGTTCAGCCTCCACTGGTGGTGGCAGAGGTGTGATGGTGGTAATGATGGTGGTGGTGGTATTGGGCCTAGGAAGGGATGCACCAATACCTTGCAATAAATCCCTCTCCAGAAGGAGGTGGGGGAGGAGAGTCCAGAGCCAGGCTTAATTTTTCTTTTATAATGTATTTCTTCCATGAGCAAGAGAAACAGAGAGGCAGCACCCCCAAAGAGAGTCTTGACACTGCAACCCGGCTTTAGCCAGCCCCAGATCAGAAGTACATGTGTGCCCGGTGTACCCAGGGAGATCTCCAGGTATAAACCGAGAGCTCGCTCATGCGGCTCAGCCTCTGAGAGCATCGTGTTTAACTGTGGCACCACCACCCAGCCCCCCAGGCTTGATTAGAATGAAAGAAAATGAATGTATGGAGCCATAGTCATTCTTGCTAAAAATACCAGAAATCTCTCAAAATCACCTTTCTCCTGGAGTCTGTGCTTCCGTCCTGAAAACTCACAGGCCTCAGAACCAAAACCAACGCGGGAGCATCCACACCATCTCCTCCTGGCTCTGCCCACTCCCAGCAGGGCCTGCAACTAGGTCTCTACTAACTGAGCAACTCCTCCCGTCAGGCTGCTCCTGCCGTACTGCACGCGAAGGACGTTCACGTGGTGGGTTCCGGCAGAAATGGGATTATGTACGAGGGCGCCTTTTTACACCACCTTAGAACTACTGAGGCTGAGCGTGTCGGTACTTCTGCATACATTTGCCCACAGCACAGCTTGGTGCCCGTGTGCCAACTCCTGCTAATGACTGCACTTGCCTTGTCCCCATGCCTCTTTCTGTTAAATGCAGCTCCTCCTTTGTCCCCCAAAGCTGTAGCCTCGCGATTCCAATAGATTCTAGGGATACTACAAGAGAGAGGAGGTTTGTTCTCTCTCGTTCCTCCACTAACCTGTACAGAAGTCTCGTTAGCCAGCACCTGTGCGTTCTCCGAGGGGCAGCACTGGATTAGCTACGGCTCCCTGCACCATGCAGGGAACAGCAAAGAGCCGCCAGGCTCTGCTTGGCCTCCCATCTAGCTTTTGGTGAACCCAGTCCAAGAATGAGCACCTCTTGACAGCCCCAAACGCCCTGCCCTGCCATCTGTGTGGGCCTTAGATCAGAGTCTTCTTGAAATAAGCAGGTACCCTCATGCCAATGGTATAAAAAAAAGTCAGGCTGTGGCCCAAGAAGAACAAGGCCAAATACCTCAGAGGGATATAATTCACTGTGTCACTTGGCCTTGTTAGTCTGGTTTGCAGGGGGAGCTCTGTGGGAAAGAGGCCGAGTTAGTCAGGTGCCAGTACCAAGGACCCCAACGCAAGGAGTGGGAAGGGAGAGAAAAGGAGGACAAAGTATTTTCCGGATTTCCAAATGTGAGTACCGCTAGTCTTTCGGAGAAGGAAAAGCATGCATACTGTGACGTGTCCTTCCTAATTTCCAACACGGTGGCACATATGACTCACAGCTCACTTAGACGGGGAGAGGGACAGGCCTGAGGGCTCTGCTGCCTCCATGAGCTCGCTGACCTCAGTCTCCTCGCTGACCGCTGCCTTCGGGCTTCCTACCGCCTCCAGTCCACCCTCAACACTGCTCTCCGAATTGTCTTCCTTAAACACAAATTTGATCATGTCGCTCTCCTACTCAAAACCTATTTTTCACTCCCTCTTGCACACAGAATAAACGCCAGCTCCTAGGAAGCAACCTCACCTTTGCTCTCTGCCCTCC